TCCAAAGCTGCAACAATAGGACCAGATAGTTTTCCACAGGTGAAACCAAAAACTTTCTCTCTTCTTTGTGCACGGAGAATGATATCACCTAATAAACATATAGAAAAATTGTACATTAGTTTATTACGTAAGCAAATAACACAATGAAAATGCATAAATCAAAATTGTTACCTTGTCTGGTGTGAGTTCTCTAAAAAGATGTTTAGCCTGACGTTCATCGGCTGGTATTTTAGAGTCGGACCATCGAAAAAATTTTGGGTATTCGAAAACGCTTATTGCGAATCCCAAAGAAGTGATCCTTTCACTCACCCATGCCAACAACCCAATGGTGCAACCATCAAAATACCCTCCTGCGCCAGCCAAGTGTGCCTCAATATTTTCAATGAGCACATCATACACCAACTTTCCCCACGCAAAATCTCCTACGCGCTCCAATTTTTCAACATGTGGATAAACGTACCTCGGCAGTTGAAAGTTGCCCTTTGGCAATAAGAAAGTATTGCAAGCGAAAATAATGTACAACCTACAAAAATCCTCAATTGATTGTTGGTCGGTCCTAACAGCATACTCTTCCAATTTTTCAGCAATTTGATGACGCTTTACTTGGGTCAATTTACCCCCAAAAACACGTCTAATGAAAGGAGTTTCTATTTTCAGGTTTTTATCGATGGGTATCCCCTTAAACTGTAATCCCATCATGATGCAGAACTCCCTAGGATCAAAGACGACAGGGATAGTTTTACCTCCAAACCAGAACGTACGTGTCTCCACGTTGTATGTCTTCTTCAACAGAGCAGACACATTTAAGAAACTATGGTATATCTTAGGCATATTTAAGAAATGCCCGAAAGGATTTTCCTCCAATGCAGCATAGTGTCTGGCCGTCATCATAGGTTTAATTATGTCCATTTGTTCTTTGAAGGCGCTAGGAGAGCACCTGCAAGCTTGTTGGGCGTCATCATCTCCAAGTGTATTACGATTATAAAGGAAAAACAATAATCAGAAAAAATACAATTGTAAGATAACAATGGTACTATGTAGGTATTGTAATTATACCGTCACTATATTGTATCAATACCATACACCTACAGTACTTATACTATTGGGCAATACGACATATACTATTTAATTACATCAGAAGAAATGCCATTACCTTTTTTTATACCTTCTAACTACAATAGCACTACCGTTGTGTAGTAAGACTAGGGGTGGGTTTGGTAGGGCAACCGTACCAAACCCGTCGAATCACTACCACTACCGAACTTTCGGTATTATAAAATCCATTACCATTGCCCTGCCAAAAAGTTCGGTATACCGAAATTCGGTATACCAAAAGTTCAGTACGGTAGGGTATGGTAATGATAATTACCAATTTAGGTTATCTACTATTTAAGTCTAAATTGAAAATCATTTTTTCAAAGCAATTCAAGGTATACATGTTTAAAATGTACAAAACTAATTTTTTAAAATATAAGTATTCTAAATATATGTTCTTAATTTATCCAATATAAAATATTTCTTAAATAAAATTATAACATAAATTTTTTTAACATCAATTATATCATTATTAATGAAAGCAACTTAATATAGTTTTGACATATCTAAAGAGGTATAATTAATTTTAGAGTAAAAAGCAGTTTGCCCCCTAAACTAAGGGCCGATTTGCACTTTACCCCCCGAACAAAAAAAATTTGCACTTTTTTACCTGAACTCGTTAATTCGTTGCACGGTGCCCCCTAAACTCAATTTTCCGGCAATTTTGACCGGAATGTTAAAACATGTGCTTTGCACGTGAGATTTTGAGGGTTAAATTCGTCCCTTCACTTACATCTTTAATATTATATACAAATAAATATTAAAAAAAATAAAAGGAAAGAAAGACAAAAAAAAGAAAAGAAAAAAAACGAAAAAAGAAAAAAAGAAAATAAAGGAAAACAAGCTGTCATCCATCAGACCACATCACCCACCTCCTTCCCCAAAACCCACCAAACCATCACCCACCTTCCTTCCAAAACCCAACCATGTCTGCACAAAAAAAACCTCAAACAATAATTTAAAAAAATTCAAAAAAATTCCGACGACCACCAATCCTCCTCCTTTCAAGGGTGTTACGAAGAATCAGATCAAATTTACCGGATTAGATCTGGAGAGAGACCCAAAGTTTCGTATCAAATATTGAAATCAAACAAAACCAACAAAAAGGTAGATTATTGATGTGGGTTTTCTCATTACTTGAAGAAAACTCACAGAAAACCCATAAACAAATGTCGATTTGTCCAAGTTAGAACATCTCTTCATGATTTGGTTCAACACCGCTGCTTGGGAAAGCTTGTTTGATTTTTTTATCACCATTTTTTTTAGTTTGGTTGCGAAATTTTTAATACCGGGCAGAAATTGAAGGACTGTGATGAAGGAGGAGGATCGGTCGAGGAAATGTGAAAATGGATGGTGGTGGAGACGAGGAGAGAGAGAGAGAGAGAGAAGAAGAAGAAGGGGCCAAATTCCATATTCAATCTTTTGATTTGGGATTTAGTATGTATACACGTTTTCTCCATTAATGAATATTGGAGAAAATTTGTTCAGAAAAATAAAAGAATGGCAGAGGACGAAGAAGAGAGGAGATGATGATGTTCAGTGCTTTTTTTCTTTTTTTTGTTTTTTTTTTTTTTTTTTAATGATTTATTTATATTTAATATATAGCACTTAAGTGGATTGACGAATTTACCCATGTAAATCTCACGTGCAAAGCACATGTTTTAATATTCCGGTCAAAATTGCCGGAAAATTGAGTTTAGGGGGCACCGTGCAACGAATTAACGAGTTCAGATAAAAACGTGCAAATTTTTTTTGTTCAGGGGGTAAAGTGCAAATCGGCCCTTAATTTAGGGGGCAAACTGTTTTTTACTCTTAATTTTAACTAATAGTAATTAATTAGGATACTATATTAACTTTTTAAATATGATAAATGAATTATTAAAATAAAATTTTATTTATTAATAATATTTCGGTACGGTAGGGCAATATACCATTTTAATAATATTGAGTGCCGTTGCCCTACCAAAACATTTCGGTAGGGTACGGTAGGGTACGGTAATAATTCGGTAGAAATATTTCGGTAGAGAATCGGTAGGGCTCGGTAGGGCAACGGGTTGGTAGGGCAATTTGGTAAAAAAAACCCACCCCTAAGTAAGACTTATATTATTTAAACACATCTAATGCCCAAAATCAAACCCTTGTTATGACCAAAAGTGATTTGGGAAAATACTAATATTTCAGACGAATGATACCCAAGAGCGAAAGTGTTCAAAATCATGCAATTCAACAGAAAATGAACAATTTTTGCAAGCATAAACAAGAAAACAACATTTTATTGGAACCAGTTGTTCGATTTTTTTATTTCAGAAAACCCCAATCTCGCCGTTGGATACTACCCACTACTGGAAATGTTCAAAATCATTCAATATGAGAACATGCAGTTTGTTTTTTGCTAACAGCAACAAAAAACAACAACAAATTTCATTATCGATTCCTGAAAAAAAAAAAAAAAACCTTGCTTCTCCTTCCCCTTGTTTGTCTTCACCATTCTTCTACTTCGAAAATTATTACTTTAGTTTCCTGTCTACTTTCCGCCTTGTTGGGGTTATTTATACAAGCAAACAAAAACCGAAGAACCTAAAGAATCACTTGCACGAAGAAAAACTGTCCGAAACCGCTGAGGAAATGGTTCGAAAATTGAATGACAACGGATAGTTAAAAGGTATGGAGCGTGATTCTCAACCGGCGCGTGAAAAAATAGGTGAAAAGTTGTGTCAGAATTTGCAGGTAATTTCAAAATAAAGTGAAGGGTTTTTCGGTCTTTGCACACCAGTTAGGGAGTTAAGTGCATATTTATGTTTGATTTAGGATCCAATACGCTTAAAAAATGTTGTTGGGGACTGACCCGCACTTTATGTTTGGGTTTAGGGATTTATCAGTATTTGCCCCAAGATATAACTCTCGCTCTCTCACTCACTCACTCTGATGCATATATATATATATATATATATATATATATATATATATATATATATATACCATCGTACATTCTCACTCTCTCTCTCTCCTCCAACACACGCACAGACAGACAAAAATTGACACGAGTCTTAATCGCTCACTGTGCGTATCTTAGTGAGTTAGTCTCTCTTTTTTGTCTTCTACTAAACCCTAATCTGCAAAATCTCAATAACAAAGGGGTTGGGATGTTATTATTATCACTGTTCTATCTATCTATTTCACTGGTGTGTTAGGTTTCGCAAATTTATTTGATTATGGAATCATCCGATGGCAAAGATTTCAATGATTTCACCGACCCCTCCACCAGCACCTCTGTTTCTGGTTCGCATTTTTTTTTTTAATTTGATTCTGTTTATTTTCCTGTTTCGATCCGTGCTTTTTTAATTTGTTGTTTGGGTTCCTTGTTCATGATTATCGTTTATGATTTGGTTAATCGAATGTGGATGTGATTTCTGCCGACTGTTATTAAATGTGTGCTACGATTGGGTTTTGATTGTGTGATGCAGGTAGCGGGATGTTCGATGCCTCCCAGTATGCGTTTTTCGGTAAAGAGATAACGGATGAAGAGGAATTAGGGGGTCTGGAAGATGAAGAAGCCGGTCTCTCTGCATTTACGGGTACATTTGGTGGCGACGAAGAGTTGAATGAGTATCATTTGTTCGACAAAGATGAGGTTAACATACGTAAATAATTCTTATGTAATTGCATGTTGTTAAAGTTTATGTGTTTCACTGTGCTATTTGTCCTTAATTGTTTTTTTGGCATGATGAAATCATTATCTCCTGGGGGTTGTTGCATGTAGTCTTGGACAAAGTTGAAGTTTATTTGTCGATGTTTTCACCCACTGCAGAAGTTGCACTGTCTATGTTCTGAGGATGTGAAAACCATCTATCCATTGTTTAAATTATTTTTTGAAGAATAAATAAAGGGATTTGTATTCTGCTATAGTAAAAGAGCGTGTAACTAAGCTCTAAAGAAAAAATGGTCTTAATATTTGGAGAATCGAAGGTGTTTTTAGAGTACGCGAGATATTAGATCTCATTATTATGAGTTTTCAGTTTATTCGGAATGGATTAAATAAGCTTTCAGAACTTGTAAGATGCTCTCACCGATTAGGAAGACGATTCTATCATTTGATTTGGTGAAAATAGTGTTATTTGAGATCTTTAAAGATAACTTAGGGTCTTAATCTTGTTAGCTCCTGGTTGATTGTTTTTGAAACGTAGAAGCTACTCTCTCATAATATTTTTAAGATGTTGTCGGCTCAAAACATCCTTTCAGTTTCTTAAACTTTTTATGAGATATTTTATCTAAAAAAACTAGTGCATTGCCCTTAAGTTTGTTATTGCTGCTATAGTATTAACATGTGTCGATTATTGAATGGGTATTCTTGTTGAGTGTATATAAATGTCCATGTGGTTAGATTGACCTCGAGTCTATGTGTATTTACAGAGTCATGTGTCAAACTGAGTGCCTTATGTTTCACGTCTAGTTGTTCTACCTTGTGCATAACAAATTGTCCAGTACGTTAATGTTTTCAAACCCTAATTTTCCTTTTACATCTATTTCGGTCTGATGACTTAATTATACATTTTTTTCTTTTGACAGGGCTCAGGATTAGGATCTTTATCTGACATAGATGATCTAACGACTACGTTTGCAAAGGTGCGTTGCTTTGGCATTATAATTTCTGGCTTATGGTTCAGGATGTTCATATTTTTTAGACTATATTCCCTAATTTTGTCATAGGAAACGGATTCTCCCTTGAACTTATGTTTCATTGCGGTTCTTAGGAGTTCCTCTTATAACAATGATATACCGGACATAAGTAGTCAGTGTTCCTGCCATAGCATTATTATTCTGTGCTTTGTAATTCAAATCTGCCAGCACTAACAAAGAAACAGTCCTTTTTGTTTGTGGTGGGGTAAGGTGCAGTTACAACCTTGACCGTATTGTGAGTGTGTTACGATAGTGATGTGGTTAGTTGGCTTGCATGCTGGTTTAGTCATTGTGATTTGCAACCATGGACATACTAAAGTATGTTTATCTTAAAGTTACTTAAGTATATATATTATATTCCCTATGATATGGAAAGTATTTTAGGCATGAAAATAGATTTTCTAGCAGGATGAATGATCTACTTAAATTTATTGATTTATGAGGAACAAAAAACATAAAGTAAGAAATAAGCCCTACTATTGGTCTTCTTGGAAGGAGTCTAAACCAAAACCTCGGGATAATACGGTGTAGTATACTTGGCTGGGAGAAAATGTGATCATCTGACTAGCTATGACGCAATTATAAGTGTGAAGATTGATTCTTGAACACAATGTTAAAGTGCTTGTAGATAGGTATTCCAAATTGAAATAGACAACAGTATTAGTTTGTAAATAAAATAACTAGATGATCGAGTAATGAGAAGTTTTTTTAGAATTTGCTATTGAGCCTTCCAAATAGATCCTAGATGCCCCTCACTTTTTATGTTTTGCAATTGTAGAGTCTTGATCATTTTATTAGTTGATTCATCTTTTCTCTTATTTGCATTATTTTGATTTTTGCAGTTGAACAAAATTGTTTCTGGACCAAGACATCCCGGAGTTATTGGTGATCGAGGATCTGGATCTTTCTCGAGGGAAAGTAAGTTCTTAGGATTTGTGATTGTAGAATCAATGGTCTCTGTTTATTTATGGCTTTCCTTACTATTTACTAGTTAATCATTGCACTTATATTTAATTTATATTAAATAATCACATTAGGCGACTTTTTCTTCCATCGAGTTAGTACCAAATATTTTGATGCGGATCTTTTTCAGTTTGAAGGATTTCGAAATTAGCTTTCTGGTCACTTGCACTCTACGAACCGAAGAATGTTCTCATGTATCTTTAACCATGCTCAAAACATGCTTCGGACCCACTCTTTAGTCTTTATCTTGGGACAAAGTGTTATAATAGCAAAAGTAGATACTAGTATTCATGTGGGAAAAAAGATTGTTGCATCGGGAATTGCATTAATTTGAGCATGAGGAACTACTGAAACATTTGAAGATATTGGATTAGGAAAAATTTATATTACAACGTGTTGTTTTGTGAATGCCTAAAGGGGTCTCTTCTTCATAGACTTCTTTTTATTTTATTATTTTATTTTTTTATAAGATATTTTGAGTAATATATGGGTTTAGACGGATTGGTTTTTAAATACGTTGAGAAGTATGATTTCTTTGTTAGATAAATGTCCTAAATGGTATAAGACTTCGATGAATCCTACTCTTGATATGTCAAGTCCATGTTGTTAGACTAGTAATCCTGCATCAATAAGGGTAACTTTGCAAAATTGTACTTTAGTCTGAATTACCTTTGTTTGTGTTGGATGGATAGCAAACTAAGTTAGAAAACAGCAAACTTCTTGAGTTTCCATTTAACTTTTACCCGAGAGCTTTCTGCTGCCTTCTTTTCATGTGTTAAAGTTTCATTCTAATTCACTTTTTATTGCTTATTTCTTGCTAATTTCTGCATGCTAGGTGTTTTAATTTGTAGCTTACAGTGTTTTTTTTATCTCCTGGTGTTATTTGATTCATTGCTTGTTGTACTAGCTTAGGGAACTTTCATGTTTTATTGGAGATTAAAAACTGAGGGTCCCCCCCCCCCCCCCCCCCCCGTCCACGTAATGATTTTTGTAGAGTCCTTCCTTATAGTTGACTCTGGCAGGTAGCGAATTAAGTATTTATTTCGGGTTTTGTAGAAAATGGAAACCCCTCTAACCGATATATATAATTAATTTAATCAAACTGGTAACTGAGCGTTTAAGTTTCACGGAAAAACCTAATTGGGCCCACTTCAAGCTCTTATAAAATAAAGCAGACCAGCCAACCGATGAGAAAAATGGAAATTATCTCCAACTGCCTGTTCAGTATACCTTGCACTTAAGATATTATGCTTGCTACTCTGCCCTGTATTCTCATGTTTTAGCTGCGTGTGCACTTCTATACGTTCCATTGCATATATCTCTCTTCAATTTATATGCTGTATATTATTTCTGGCCTCTGATTAAAAGGTTATTTCAGGTTCATCAGCTACAGAATGGACGCGAGATGCAGATTTTCCTGATTGGGTTGATCATCATCATCATCATCGTCATATGTCTGACTCGGAATGTTACGAAGAAAATAAGAGATGGTCATCGCAGCCCCATCTCTCTTCAATGTATATTCCTGAATCTAAACCATTATACCGGACATCTTCATATCCTCTGCAGCAATTTTCTAGTGATCCCGTTGTAGTCCCGAAGTCATCTTTCACTTCCTTCCCTCCACCAGGTTTACAACAAGCTTCTCTGAATAATTCACACCATCTTAACTTGTCTTCTCTTTCTAGTCTACCTCAATCACCATTCTCCGTGCAGAGTGATTCTCCGTTCTCTAACTCTAGTCTCCATTTGCCTGGCTTAAGTCGTGGCTACCATTATAATACTAACATGTCACACCTAACCTCACCTAATTTTTCTCATAACAATAAGCTCCAAAACCACTGGATTAGCCATGCTGGTCTTCTCCATGGTGATCAGTCTATCCTATTGAACAGTATCTTACAGCATCAGTCCCATCAAAATGTGTTATTACCTCCGCAGCTAATACCTTCACAGCCTCAAAGACGCCACCTATCGTTCCAACCGTCTTCAGCCCATTTTTCATCATTGCAGTCTCAGATGTTCAATAGTGTTCCTTCACCATCACATTTTAGTCAATACAGGTTAGCCGATAAGAAAGAGTCAAAATCTAGATCATCGCAAAAAGGTAAACAATCTGTTCGATTCTGTAATCAAGGATCAGACGCTAGTAGCAACAGGAGCGACAGTAATTTGCCACAGTTCAGATCGAAGTACATGAGTGCTGAAGAAATAGAGAGCATTCTTAAAATCCAGCATGCTGCAACACATGGCAACGACCCTTATGTAGATGATTACTACCACCAAGCCCGCCTTGCAAAGAAATCTTCTGAAACAAGATCAAACCATCGTTTCTGCCCGTCCAACCAGAAGGAACCATCATCTCGTTCTCGTAATAGCACTGAATCACAGCCACATCTCCATGTTGATGCTCTGGGAAGGATCGGTTTTTCTTCAGTTCGTAGGCCCCGCCCTCTTCTTGAATCTGATGTTCCTCCCTCTCCTTGTGGAGATAATAGTACTTCTGAGCAGAAATCATCTGGAAAACATTTGGACCAGGAACCAATGTTTGCAGCAAGGGTGACTATTGAGGATGGGCTACGTCTTATTCTTGATGTTGATGACATTGACCGGATCTTACAGTTTACTCTACCCCAAGATGGCGGATTCCAGTCTAGGCGGAAGCGTCACATGTTGTTAGAAGGCTTAGCCGCCTCTCTTCAGCTGGTTGATCCACTTGGGAAAAGTGTTAATTCTGTTGGGCTGTCACCCAAGGATGATATTGTGTTCCTACGAATAGTTTCTGTTTCAAAAGGCCGGAAACTTATCTCACGGTATCTTCAGCTTCTTTTACCTGGTAGCGAACTTGCTCGAATAGTTTGTATGGCCATCTTCCGACATTTAAGGTTTCTGTTTGGGGGCCTTCCCTCTGATCTTGAATCGGCTGATACCATTAAGGATCTTGCAAGAACAGTCGCTGTCTGTGTTAGTGGTATGGAACTTAATGCACTGAGTGCTTGTCTTGCTGCTGTTGTTTGCTCCACCGAACAGCCGCCTCTTAGGCCGCTAGGGATTCCTGCAGGAGATGGTGCCTCAGTCATCTTAAAGTCCGTTTTAGAAAGAGCAACTCAGTTGTTAAGAGAACCTCAGTCTGCCAGCAGCTTGGGCATACCGAATCCTGCTCTTTGGCAGGCTTCATTTGATGCATTCTTTGGTCTTCTGATGAAGTACTGTACGAGTAAATATGAAAGTATAGTTCAATCACTAATGAATCAAAACCCAGAAAACAAAGAGGTAGTTGGTCCAGAGGCAGGAAGAGCTGTTAGTCGGGAGATGCCGATTGAGCTTCTACGTGCTAGTATTCCCCACACTGATGACACTCAGAAGAAATTGTTAATGAATTTTGCTCAGCGATCGATGAAGTAAATTCCTGAATCTGTCAGAGGTTAGCTGAGAAGTTTTGTACAAATGATTTGCTTTTAGAGTTGCTGCTTTTATGCTCAGCATAACGATCGAAGGATGGGGAATGCGCATGCATGCTTTAGGCGGGATTTTAACGCCTTAAGTTCTACTTTTTTGAACCATCAGGTGCCCATACCTTTCGGAGAAGGGTTCATTTTCTGCTTATTTTCGTGAATATACAATTAGATCTGTGTATTATGTCAAAAGCTCTCTTAACTGCCATTTTTTTTATTTTTCGTTTTCATGGAGAGCTATTTGGCATGTGTTGTTTAAACTCTGGGTTAAAAATTCAAGTGTAAGGGTGAATGTACAGGTAAGCCCTTGGGAAAGGTGACAAAATTCGGGTGTCTGCAGTTTCATCGTCCTCCTTAAGAATAGTGTCTTTTTTGGGGGGAACAAATATACTTATATAGAGGCAATGAACTCATCGTATTTTTAACTAACGATGTCGGGTTCAGTTTGCACATATCTGGAGGCAGGTTAGTATTAGTAGTAGTAGTAGTTGTAGCTGCATTGCATGCTTGTTTGTTCAAATATTTCTTCTCTCCCTTTAGATATGATACATTATTGCATTTGTTGTTGACTTTGATTTATTGTACACTTTCTTTTTAGGTTCTACCTAATTCTATATGCCCTCTTGTTTCTCATTAATAGTTGGGCAACCCTAAGAATGGGGCGGCTATTTCAAATACCATTTTTTTCAGTTTATTATCATCTAATTAAAAAAAATAGATAATAAATAGATAGTGACATTTATTGAATTTAATCGAACATATATACTAATCAATCTCAACTCCCTATTATTACACTATTACTGCATAATCAATGTTATGAAAGATTATGCTTAAATACAATGATTGTATAATCATATATTTTAAATGTATTACATTATCAAGACAAGGTAATCATCTTATTTTGATCAATTTTATCAATCTAATCAAAATTGCCAAACAATGCCTAATGGTCTTAATTGTATAGGATGCATATCAAGTGTAGCACGTAGGATTATTTTATTTTTTTTTTATTTTTTTTTTTAATGAAGGAACCTGCAGCCAACTATATAAGTGCACTGTAAAAATATATATTCTTGTATAATAACTTGGTTGACTTAATGTAAAAACATAAAAATAAATTTTAGTGATAAATAATAGCTTGGATAATACTTCCTTGAATGGGGAATCGAGTAAAAAGTTGGGCATCCTACAATTGTATGGCCATAAGTCAATTGAGTAGATTTTTTCCACTCGTAACAGATAAATGAATTACTTATATAAATATATTGAATTTGGAGATATGTCATAAGACTATGTTACTTGCATTGTCTTTTAGTTAACTCACACATTCATGATTAATTACAAGCTAATTATTTCTATACATTTATAATTTAATTAATCACATTTTAGAAAGAATTAATTAATTATAGAGCACATTGAATTAATTACACTACAGTAGAACCTCGATAAATAATACCCGATAAATTAATAACATCGCTTAAATAATAAATTTTTCTAGTCTTAACTTGGGGACAACGTGCTAAATTAATAATTCGTTAAATTTATAAGATAATATACATTCGAAAATTTTAAGAAGCCCCATACAATATATAATTTAATAATGCATAAAAATAATTCTTAAATTACATGGTTACTGTACATACGTTATAGATCTATGTAGGCTTAATACAATATAATTTAATTGTCGTTTGTTTTTTGTTGAAGTTTACATTACCATCATTTTCTTCCCTGACTTTTTTTAACATGGTTAGAACTTTCGATATAGTTTTCTCATTACTCAACAAAAAATTGTTATATACCATTGCTTCTTTAAGACCTTTTGTTCGTGAAACGAGCTTTATAGTGCATTGAACTAATGGTACAATGAATAATATGCACGTAAAAAACTTTAAAAAATATGTATTTTTTGAAAATAATAATAAAAATAATTTCATAAATTAACAAATTATTAATTAATGTATAAATTAATAATTATTAATTTATCGATAAGTTAATATTTCGCTAAATTAATGGAATTTTGATGGTCCCAGTTATATTAATTTATAGAGGTTTAACTGTATTATGTGATTGAGATTACACATCTTTCTTTTATCTTGTAGGTATTAAGAATAAGTTTCTGACCAACAATCTTTATTATTCTAGATTCAGGTTATATCATTTCGCCAGTAAGTCATACCTTTAATATGTAATATAAATAAATGAAAAATTAATGCATATAACAAAATTACCCCCAACCCTTCCTAATTGTAACCACAATTTAACTTTAATTTAATCAATTTTTACTTTTTTTTTTCAAGTTTTTTTTCATGAATTTTTTTTTTGCCGCCAGTTTCCGGCGTTGACTTTTTTATTTTTATTTTTTTTGTTTTTTTTTCCCGAAATTTTTTATCCTTTTCTTTGCACTTGCCGCCGAACGTTGACCGTAATTTTATTGTCATTAATAGTAATTATACTATCGCTGACAGTAAATTTACGTAATTGTACTGTGGTTGACAGTACAATTACTGTCAACCACAACAATATTATTATTTTTTTGGTTTTTTTTTGTTTGACAAGTCAATGTAATATTATTACTGTTGTTGACGGTAAAAGTAATGTAAACACAATAATATTACTGTCAACCACATCAATATTTTTTATTTTATTTTTGCCTTTTTGTTTTGTTTGATTTGTTGACCGATTAACGTAATAATATTACTGTCTACTATTGTAATATTACTATAAACACAATAATATTACTGTGGTTGACGGTAATATTACTTTCGTTACAGTAATATTACTGTGGATGACAGTAATATTACTGTCAACCACATCAATATTAATTATTTCGGTTTTTTATTATGTTTGTCTTTGTTGAACGACAACATATTAATATTACTCTATTATTACGCAATAATAATGATTTTTGTTGTGTTAATATTACTGTGCTAGAGAGTAATACAGTAATATTACTATGTTAAACAATAATATAGTTAATATAACGGTCAACCACAACAATATTAATGTTTAAACGGGCAAAAAGATATTGTAGAAAAAAAATAAAAAATAAAAAATCGCGTCATTCTCACCTGTGATCTGATCGCATAGAGATCGGGGATCCACCACCCCTTCCCTACGACATGTATATATATATAGTCTTGAAGCACAAGGAAAACTACTCTCTCTGGTATACACTAATTTTCACCAAATCTCTTTAAATACACCTATATTGTCCCCTCACAATTCCAAATAACTTGAAAGTTGGAGTGCTAACATCAAAAAATTCTTTTCCAGAACTCTTTTTGTAGGTCGCTCATAAACACGTACGTTAACTTCCTTTTGTTTGGACTTTCTCTCATAAACTTGGATTAAAGTTCCCAAGTTTATATAAGCTCATTGTGCTTTACTAATCAGTTGTTCGACTAATTTCCAAGCAGTTAATCCACTGATTTTATCTCAATGGAATGGATTGGATTAGTTGAGTCGATTAATGTACAATTGAATCAAGTGATTTAAATCAGTTGATTCAACTAATTTTAAATGTTTGCAAATGCTTTTAGAAATAGATTATGATCTTTTTTTCAGCATATAATTTGTTTTTAGATATTTGCAGAACAAGCTTTTGCTTTTGCTTTTGCTTCTCTTAAAATAAACTGTTTTAAATTATAATTTTAAAAGCACCCATATACCTGTTTTTTTCTATTTTAGTTGATTTTTCAGTTAATCCCAAACACCCCAACTTTTAGAAATAAACATTTAATTTCAACTTAACTCACAATCACTAACTTCTACTCTTAAATAAGTTTTTTTATACACCACCTAACAATCAATTGGCCAAGTGATTGGGAAGTTGACCAACCGATAAAGAAGTATTTTTTGTTTTTTCAAATTACCCCAAGAAAATGTGTCCTAATCAGACATATAATAAAGTTTCTACTTGTAAAAAAATGAAAAAATAAAATAATAATCTATTAATATCATAATAAAATATCCACCAATGGTAAAATATCTCCCTTAAAAAACAAGAAACTAAGAGAGGAAAATATTTAATTATTTTTTGTTGATTTCTACTTGGACTATTCTCTCTCTCACACAAATACACACACTAATAAGGGTGCATGTTAATTTTCATTGGTTTTTCATGGCAATATTTGCGTGTTATCTCCTAATTTCATGGCTCATTTGTTAGTATATATATTCATGAAAAATGGTCCACTTTTCTTCCATTCCAATCTATTAATTACTATTTTTCTCACATTCTTTCTCGTTGACTCTTCTTCCACACACACACACACACACTAAAAAAAAAAAAAAAAAAAAAAAAAATTATAGGTAACTACTTCCATAATAAATATATATATTTGCGTTTTGACATTTAAACTGCCATTACATACTATTATTAGTCTGATCTGTAATTTGGTATTTATTTCTTCTCATTCTCATCAAATTTTAATTATTCAATTCAATCTTCTTCTTCCTCTTTCTGGTAAGTCATTACTAATTCAGATACTCTTTCTTTTTCTTTTTTCCCATTAATTCAATATCTTCAAAAAATGTATATGTATATGTATATATATAATTATATATATATATTTTTTTTTTATGGCCTTTAAGGGAAGAAAATATTTTCATAAAACCATATGATTTATTAATATTTTTTTATTTATTAATTTGCTGAAATGGAATTACTGAATTTACACATTTTCCTGTTCTATGCAATAATACATTAATGTATTATTTTGTTTTTTATTTTTTTGTTTCTTGATGATGAAGTTCAAGATTGGCTGCTAATCTTCAGAACTTTGTCTATTCTTCCAATAATAAAAAGGACTAATTTTGTCTAAAAAAATATCATAATTTGGTTGGCAGGAATAATGGATTACTTATTAGAGAACAAACGAAAAAGCAACTTCAGCAAGAAAATTCTATTGGCTGCTGCACTCACCGCTCTTCTCGTTTTCGTTATCAAGCGGCCTCCCGTTATTAGTCCCTCTACCAAGGTACCTTTCTTCGTTCACATACTCTTTTCGATTTTTCATTTTCGTTTTTTTCCACTTTTCTGTGAAAAAGGCCATTACATTAGTCGGTGATGTTGCCGGATTTCGTGGCACCATTTGAAAGATCATGAATGAGAAGTCGTCCACTTTCGGTTTCTGTTTTTCTTTCTTACATAATTATATTTATCCAAACCTTAAAAAGAAAATTGTTGTTGTACGATTCAGTTTTCTGAGCACGAGCCAGGCGTAACGCATGTCTTAGTGACGGGAGGTGCAGGCTACATCGGTTCTCATGCTGTTCTTCGACTTTTGAAAGATTCATATCGTGTAACTATTGTGGTATGTCGTACTTGTATACCCTTTTTCGTATATAATTCATCCTTACTTCGTTGAGTTAATATATTATTTATGTATGAATATTTTATAAAATTATCCATATTCTTACAAGATTTTATATATATATATATTTGTTTATGTGGACAGGACAATCTTTCGCGCGGAAACATGGGAGCCGTTAAAATCCTTCAAGAATTATATCCGGAGCCCGGAAGACTTCAATTCATATATGCTGATTTAGGCGATGCACAAGCTGTATTCTTTCTTTTCTTTTTTCAAATAATATAGCTATTTTACTAAGTGAGATTGCGCTTTCGAAAAAATAGAATTCCTTAGCTTTTTTATTTTTATTCAACTTATTTAATATCAGGTAAACAGAGTATTTTCTGAGAATGCTTTTGATGCTGTTATGCATTTTGCTGCTGTTGCTTATGTCGGTGAAAGTACAGTCGAACCCCTAAGGTATATATATCACTACTACATCTACACGGCATCCAATTCAATGTTCGTTTTTTAGTTAAAAGTTTTGATAGTATAATTCGTTAAAAAAAAGTTGAAATATATAGATAGGATTTTCGACTCGGGTGCGCTTGTATCTATCATTGTTTTCTTACATATATATATTTGCATGCAGGTATTATCATAACATTACATCAAACACACTGCAAATTGTGAAGGCAATGTCAGCACATGGTGTGAAAACATTGATATATTCAAGTACTTGTGCTACGTATGGTGAGCCCGAAAAAATGCCAATTACCGAAAACACCCCTCAAGTGAGATCAAGATAGAGAGTTCGATAATAATATTTCAATTTTTTTTTTTTTTTGAAACTATTGAAAAGTTTGATCGATGATCTGATGTATATTCATTCAGGTGCCGATAAATCCATATGGGAAAGCGAAGAAAATGGCAGAAGATATAATAATAGACTTCTCAAAGACATCAGACATGGCTGTAATGATCTTAAGGTACTTCAATGTGATTGGTTCGGACCCTTTGGGTAGGCTCGGAGAATCTCCCAGACCTGAACTCCGTGAACAAGGAAGAATTTCCGGAGCTTGTTTCGATGCTGCCAGAGGAATCATTCCAGGCTTAAAGGTCCATACATTCATACATACGTACTTCTCAAAATGAATATTCAAAAAAAAAAAAAAAAGTCGGTACTAAATAAGTTTTCTTGATTATTTCAGGTAAGAGGAATCGATTACAAGACAGCAGACGGAACGTGCGTAAGAGACTACATTGATGTGACAGATTTGATAGATGCTCATGTGAAAGCGTTAGCCCATGCTAAACCTTCTAAAGTCGGCATTTACAACGTTGGAACTGGAAAAGGTCATAACTCGTCATTTTCCGTTTTTAGTGAGCCTATAATATAATATAACTACTACATCTGATTTTACGATTATAACGTGCAGGTAGTTCTGTAAGGGAATTTGTGGAGGCGTGTAAGAAGGCAACGGGAGTGGATATAAAGGTGGAATACCTTAGCCGACGGGCCGGTGATTATGCAGAAGTGTACAGTGATCCTTCGAAGATTAACATAGAACTTAATTGGACTGCTACTTACACTAATCTTCAACAAAGTTTGACCACAGCTTGGAAATGGCAGAAGGCGCACCTTAATGGTTACGAAACTTAAAAACGACATGTAACTCTACTGTTTTATCGGATTTTTTTTTTTTTATTTCGGAATTTCGATTGTTTTTGTTTAGATTCGAAATAGACCAAAGTGGTGGTTTTGCAGCATAGCATACCCCCAAGGGTAGATTGGAAATAAAACTTTATTATTCTATTTTTATGTTTTCGATTTTTCGAATTCAAGTGGAAGTTACTAAGAACTCCTTACTCACATGAGAAATCCAAGTGGTGCGCATCAAATAGATAGATACACATGCTGTTTGTATACACCAATATAGTATATATAGATTATAGAGAGATGCCAAACAAATTTCTTTCAATACCCCAAAAACAAATGGCTCATCTATGCTAACAATTTCCTATGCGAGTTTAATATTACAAGTACGAAATTGCAAAATGATAATGCTTAATTTGCTTCAAGGCTCAAAAATCCCGGCGATTTAGCAAGAAAAAGCCGACCACCAAAACTGGGCTCAACTCTATTATGCATTTCCTAATCATATCATAGATTTACTTACTAACTATAATTAATCAATCGGTGATGGATGATGGATGGCCTTATACCTGCCCTCCTCGTATTGCAGGTGCATCCTCAAGCTTTGGTGTTTTGTATGTTACTCCCTCAATTATTATTTATTACAACTCGTCGTGAGCCTCGGTTTCAACATTTGCCTTGTCATTAGCCGCTTTGTCTGAATCGGCCTTGCTCTGCTCCTCTGATGTGGAGTTTTCCTTGTCAGTTTTATCAACCTTCGGTTTTGGCTTTGGTTTTGAGATTTTGTTCACGCTCGCAACCTACACACATGATCATGATAATAATGAATAAACTCCAATTATTAACTTAATAACACTTTCTCATGACAAACTTCTTCTCTGGCATCATTGGCTTGCAAATATGATAACCAACAAGCACCCAACTAACATACAATATTGTCTTAAAATCCTCGGTGTATGCATACATAAGAAGGAGATAAGATAACTACCTTGTCCTGGAGATCTAAAACTTTCTCGTATACTTCATCAGATGTGAATGCCGGTTTATTAAATCCAGAAATCCTGTTGGAGGGTGCCATTAAGTACTTTGTTAATAGAAATTATAAATATTTTTTATTTTTTTCCTCAACTGAAGGAGTTGCGGACGCCAAATTTAGATCCATGGAAGAAAAATGAAACAAACAAAAACCCACCAAAAATGATTGCAGAGAGGTGAAGGTAAAAAATCATGTTCTGAAAGAAAATAAAGATAAAACTTACTTCTTCTGCTCAGCCTCCTTATCACTTAACCAATTCTTCAATTTTTCAGCTTCCTTTGTTACCTAAAAACCACAATTATTTTTAAAATTATATTTCTTAAAATAATACGAAAAATTTATATTCAGCCAGTATGTGCCCCAATATGTATGGAATGCTTTTGAGATACGAAGTTGAGAGAACCTCATCTATTCTTTCTTTGGGCAGCCAAGATTTGTCTTTTTCCCATCCTTGCACAATCTAAAGATTCAGGAGACAAACAAGAAGTAAGAGACGGCCTTGTAATGTAAGTCCAAGCATGCATCCTGAATATCAAGAAAAACGCACTCCTAGATATAAACTAAAAATCAACAAAACTGTCACCTTTCACTGAACTGGTTTTATGAGAAAAATAAATTGAAATAATGAAGTGATCAGGCAAATGTAGACTTCGATGAGAGTTGACACTTTGGCTTAATAAACCAAAATTGAGCCTTCACTAAACCGTATTAGATTTAATTATTTTACCTTCTCCAGCTCAAAAAGTTCATAAACAAAAGTGCATTTGCATCTAGTAAACGAAGAACACACATCATCTTCAAACCAAAAATATTTTTCTTGGAAGTTTCTACTCAGTCAAACAAAGGCAGAAAAAACATGTACTTTGCCCTCTCCATCGCATTAATTATCACAAAAATACATAGTGTCCCAAAACTGTCTAGCAAACACTTTATACTTTAGAAGTTGTTGATCATAGAAAGAAACAAACTCACCTGCCGTAACTCCGTAAGGTATCTCTGTGCAAGTTGAGATGCAGCCGGCCGTGCAGTTAGTTCGTTAAATCTATAATAAATAACATGTAAGAGCCACACCCCTAACATGTAACAGCTATTCTAATCTATTGAAATGGATATAGCGGCAAACCTAAGGAATATGGGGTCACCAATAGCTTTCAACATATCTAAACGTTCTTGAAATTCAGATGCGGCAGCATCTTCACCGTCAGTATACAACCAGTCTTCTACCTAAATCAATGTATGTGTTCAGCCAGTATGTAAACGAGATACTTGAATAGGAAGAGTGCTAGAAACCAAAGACAAAAATTGCAAATGAACACGCACAGAGAGCAGAGAGAGAGAGAGAGAGAGAGAGAGAGAGAGAGAGAGAGAGAGAGACTGAGTGAGTGAGAGAGAACTAACCTCGTTAAGTTTTTCAATAAAAGATTTTCGTTCTTTGGCAGAAGATATTTTCTCAAACTCCTCAGATTCAAGCTATTTACATCAACATCAATAAAGCATGTGTCAGTTAATTAGATTCATAGAAATTTCAAGGACACAAAAAAGTCCGAAAATAAAATCTTAATAAAAAATAACAAACAGCAAGCTAATCTCTATACACATGACAAGGCTCAAGCCAAGTCCGCACCAGCCAGTATACCAAGGTAAAAACAAATGGCAAATGAGAAAACACAGTTAATAGTCTTAAAAAATGCATGTAGCAGGAGGAAGATCACGTATATGACCTTAATAGGACAAGGGTAAGTAATGTATGAATCCGTTATATTACAAATGCAGGTAAGCAAGAAGATGATTCGAACCTCAACGGGATTATTTTATATGAATCCATTAGCATCTAAATTGTCAACAAAAGGTAAGTGAAAAGTGAAAGACATGATCATGAGTTTACGTAGTCATGACAGTCAAAGTCTGCATATTAAACTAAACTTCTGACCTTATCTTTAGTAGAATAAATGTATGCCTCCAGGTTATTTTTCAATTCAGCTGTCCTTCTCCTTTCTGCATCCTTCTTGTCCAATGCTTCCAATTTGAGTTTGGCCTCCGCAAAAGATTCCTTTGGGAGAGGCATTCCAGGCCCTCTTGTTTTCTCAATAACCTAAATGAACATAGAGATAGGATTCTCAGAAATGATACATAATGCAATAACTATCAACTAAACATTGTTTCATTTTAAGTACCTTAAGGGGAACTCGGAAAGTTCGCTTCTTTAGCCTCTTTTCAGTACCAAGATCCACATTGCTAGAATCATTAGCACTGGAATCTGAAATGTTCGTATTGCCATTATTTGTCTCCAATTTGTCACTACTCTCCTCTGAAGCACTAGCATCCGCATCTGTATTGTTAGCTGAAGCAGATGTTGAGTTGTCCACTGTGAGATTTTTTCGTGGGACTTCTACCCATTCAGTTATCTCGATGACAGCTTCTGCTCGATCGAAGGAAAATACACCACTTCTACTGAGGGAGAAGTGTAAACTGGCCTTGATTGGGGAGGAAAGGTTCCGTGACGAGTACCTGACAAACAAAACAGCATAAAAAGAACCTCACTAAGAAAATAGAGTAATCTATTCAAATTAAATCAGATTTTTAACCGCCATAATCCTTACCTGTCACTAGCATCTTTAAGACCCGAGACATCATACTGTGCAAATGTAAGAGAAGAGGCACCCGGCGGTATCAGATCTTCATTCTCATAAGAAAGTGACACTTCAAAATCTTTATCGTGAACAATAGATCTGAACATCTACAATATAAGTTGGAACAAATCAATTGACATCTTGAAACGAAATGTAACACTTTCTGTACCCAAAAGTTCTTTACCTTGCTGGGTAACTTTTTCATTCTTGGTACAATCAGCTGTCTCGTGGTTTCATCTTTTAAAAGACCATCACCATTCAACTCAAACACAAAACCATAAGTAGAACCATCTATCATGCCTAGCTTACGGTTTAATTTGATTCCATCACTTAAATTTGCAGCATGTAGTGAGGCACCTAGAACAATAGCCTCATCGGCATCGAGATGCCTGTCCAACTCCTTCCTTCCAAGAAATTCCTGAAGTTTAGCCTGTACAACAAAATACAGGGTCAATTTTAAATACTCAGCTGTTGTGGAAATGGAAGCTGAGCTAACAGATGAAAGAACTTGTATATTTGTTGGGGATTGTTCTAAGAGCAAGTCAGCATCTAGTGTTAGCAAAGGGGGTCATTAGTTATATGTAAAATAAAGCAATGCAGATTGAAAATTGTAAATATTGCAGAGTTAAAAGAGTGACCCAAAATAGTATTCTTCCAGGAAGTTAAGACAAACGTGACGACAAAGTTCTATATATGAAGCATGCATCACATATCAGATGATGACTCAGGAAGTCAGTATTTCGTGACCTGCAACTTTGGAACTCGGGTGGCACCTCCAATCAACTCCACTCCGTATAAATCATCAGCATTCAAACCAGAATGCTTGAGAACTTCTTTTAGAGGAACAAGGGCTTTTTCCCAGATATCTTCACAAATCTCTTCGAACTTCTCACGAGTTATTGTGCTCCTATAGAAATAAATTCAAAAGAGACAAATAAGAAAATGAGTGAGCTATCACTCACTGCATATGTGATCAAAGCATGGGAACACTTGGAAAAAGAACCCATAATGCGATCTCAGGCTAAAATCATAAATAATACAAGATGTAACATACAAACTCATAGTCATAGAAGCAATAAAGTGGGGAGACCATGAAATAAGTGACAGGTGCTACCATATGAAGACATGGTTAGCATTGCATATATGAAGTCAGAGGCGCTTTCTGGAAAGATCTTAAGATTTTCAAGCAAAAGTCATGAAATAACTGCATATAGAATGCAACAGAGGTTCATAATCCAATTACTCTGCAAGTCGCCAGCATTTGGGGCATGATAAGTTATTGACATGATTCCATTCAAATGCATGCATTTACGAAATATATTTCCTCATGATAAGTTATTGACATGATTCCGTTCAAATGCATGCAATTACGAAATATATTTCCTTATTAAAAATTGTAAACAGCTAAGAAGCAAATCAACAGTATTACCTCTTCAAAGTTTACATCATTTTAAATAAAATTCAAATACAAACAGTTTACATCAGCAAAGCTTGTGCTTGACATGATCACAGTTTTTCAACATTCAAAGTAACTTAGTTGAATAAGTAAATTTTAATATTCTTTTTTGATGGGTAAAAGGAAACAAAATAATATAAACTGGCAGGTTAAAAATTCTGAGGACGTGAAAACGCAGATATGTCATATGGTAGCAGATGTAGTAGTGGCAGAAGAAAAAGACTCTTTAAGGTATCATCGCTTGAGTTGGAACCAAAAAGATAAAAGAAGTAACAGAATTATTTAGAGTGGTCGTTACATAAGAGAAATGAATAATTACTGAAGAAAAGAATCATTTCATAAAGAAGCAGAAGCAAAGAATGAACCATCAAACTATAAAGATCTTCCTTATATCTCAGAGTTTGCAAATATAGAAGAATTGCTAACCTGAAGTCACGGTCATCGTAAATGGATTCTACAGATATTGGAGCCATCATATTGGCACTCAAGATTTCTTTTGTCCTCTTAACCTGTTTCTTCAGTTTGGCCATTGCCTTAGGGGAGCTTCTAATGTCAACACCATTTCCAACCTGTTTGTTGAACTCGTCCGTAAAATGCTCCACCAACCTCAGTTCCATATTCTGACCCCCAAGTTCTATGTCCCATTTGACATCCTTCACCTGGAACAACCAAATGTCAAATTATCCACACTAACATTCATAGTAGACCAAACTTCTACAATTTTAATTTATTATATGAGATTTTATTCTCTATGAAAAACTCCTGAAACAAGTTCTAAATCGATGTTCTGTTACCCTAAAACAAACATTAAAATAAACTCAAAATTTGGCTACTTATTTGCATCTCGCTAAGTTAAATCTTTTCATTTCAGAGATGGATAAAGACGTCTTTATATTTTATCAGCAACGGCATAGCATCAATTCAATCAAGTAGATTAAAGTGCATGCAACACCATCTAGTAAGAAATTATCAGAATTCGGACCAACACTAATCGACAGAGAATCAAATACTTTTAATCAAAATTGAAAGAGAATATTTCACCTGAAATTGATTAATAGAAACAGTCTTTCCCGATTCCTTGGCATTATAAGCCGAAAAAGTAACCAATGCAGCGTAAGTACTGCCGGCACCCATGTCGTAAAATACGACATTCCTTGATCCATTGGAGAAATCCTTATCAATCCCGTACTGCAAAGCAGCCCCAGAATGCTCATTCACCAAAGACAGTACATTCAGCCCCGCCAAATCGGCGGCCACCAACAGTGCCCTCCTCTCAGCCACCCCTGTAAAAGGGGGTACTGTGATCACCACATCCTTCAAACTCGTCTTGGCATGGGTCTCCGCCAGCCCCACCGCGTACTTGAGCATCATACTCACCATCTCCTCCGCCGTGAAATTGCCACTTTCCGCTTTGAAAACCGCCACCTCCCGTGGATCCGCGGGGGCGATCTCGGAACTCAGATAAAGCTTTTGGAGGAAATCGCGCGTGAAAGTGTAGGGTTTGGCGAGGAGGGAAGGGAGATGCGAATATACCTTGGTCGGGTAACGCGCGAGAAGGTTGAGAGATTCCTCGCCGATTAATCGAGAATCCGCGTGGAAACTGATGAGAGAAGGGGTTTTGCGCTTTGACATCTCGTTGATGACGACTGAGATCGGAGGCTGGCCGGGTTTGAGGTTGACCACGGCGACCTTGAGCCATTCGGAGCCGAGATCTATACTCGCAACCGCCGATTCAGATTGGAATGAATTCAGTAGAAAAAGCGACAGAAGGAGCAATGCTCGGAGTGAATTTGCCGTCGCCATTATTGTGGAATTTTGAGCTCTGAGTGGTGGGAAGGGGGGGTTTTGTAGGGGTAGTCCAGGTGGAAAAGGACAGAGGTGGTCAGCGAATGGGGAAATGACATGTGTCGTAAAGTACACGTGGCAGTATTTGAGTCGCTGGGTGCGTTGTGTTTGGCGTTGTCATGGATCTTCGGTTTAGTCTAGTTGGGTTCGCTCATCGGGGCTCCATTCTATTCCTCTCAGTTTTTTGTTTTTGTTTTTGTTTTTATTTTCCTTTGAAAATATAATTTTCGACCAATGGATCCAAAAAATTCAATATTGGAATATTTGTTTTCATTTCGATTTTCAAATTCCCGATTTGCGATTTATTTGGATTGGAATCCGAATTAGATATAATATTTTAAGAATTTCCGATTCATACTTATTTTTAAAATCAATTTATTTTATAAACGAATGTATTAGATAATATTTTATTACGCGCAATAGATTTGCTACTGAATCACAATATATCGGGTACCGTTTTTCTCCACGTTTCGTTTATCGAATCATATCATACATTATTTGAACAATTATAAAAACAATAATAAATATACTTATCAACATAATAAAATATTATAAACATATAAGAGCTAGTATGTTAAAGTTAAACCAACACTCAAGATACATCTAAAGTTTAAGCTTCAACATAAAGTTAAAATAGGATGAAATTAAAATCATAACTGATGATGCTAAAGTTTAGATCACCTGGGGTAGTGTAGAAAACGAGCTGGGAGAGCAAAGCGGATCAGTAGCTTGACAACTTGATGATCCTGAGGTCCCAGCGAAATGAGCACACGTGAACTAAGCCGGGGGTTGATCCGGCGGAAACCCCTCCGACGCTCAAGTCAGATGTATGGATCGTGGAAATAGTAGAGAGAATAAACACTCTAGATTGTTGGTGAATTATCGAACGTACCTTAACAAATGAGTAAAACATCTATTTATATGTCGTTGATTTGGTTGGGCTTACTTTGTTGGGTCCAAGCCTCACTTTGAAGGTGCTTGGGCTTTCGTATAGTGGGCTCAATTGTAGGTGATTGGGCTTTCGTGTATTGGGATTAATTATTAGATAAATTGGGGCCCATTGGGTCGGCCCAATTAGGTATATCATTAGAGCATCTCCAACCGGTTTCACCATTTTTTCACCAAATCTCATTTATGGTGGTGAAAAAATGGGTTCATCTCCCACCGGTAGCACACCATTTTACTCTTCCACCATTTTTAGTGGAAAAATGGTGGTTTTGGTCTCCAATGGGTATCACCAAAATTTAGACCAAATATTAAAATAATAATATTTCACCATTTCACCACTTATAGGAAATGGAATTTGGTTTGGTCTCCAATGGCATTTCACCATATATACCCCAAAACTATAAATCTAATGTTAATCGTAATTTTATAATATTTTATTTCCTAAATATTAATTATAGATCCAATGCTAAGTAATAAATTTTCTTAACTAAATAATTTAAAAATTATGTTATTAATTTTAAATTTTAGTGCAGGGGGAAGTGGAGGAACCGATGAAGATGTTTATGTCCCGGAATCTCCAAACGACAACAACTATGACAACAGAGACTATTAAGTACGGCATGAGAACTTAAATAAGCAGTTCATGATGATTTAAATTTATATAATTTGTGTTATTGTTTATCATGTTTTGTTATCATGTTATGTTATTTGTTATTTTATGAGCTATGTATTTAAATTTAAATGTCCCGTCCTGTATTTCATCAATTAAAGTGTGTTTTGTTAATCATTCTATTGTTGCTTATTGTATTTTATTAATAGCAATTAGCGTATTAGTTAAGTAAAGAAATGAACTAATAAACATTGATACCAACAAAATAAACAAATTAATTAAAAATAAGCATATTTATAGTTTTAGAATTAATGTTTTGTTAATAATAACAAATGTATTTATATTTTAAAAACTAATTTAATAATTAATACCAATGTATTTACGATAAATATGCTAATAAGTTGGTAAGCGGGTGCAATTAGTTAAAATAGTCATTTTATATGGTACTTAATAAAATGGTGTTAATTACGCCAAATCCTATTTTTATCTCTATATTTGGTAGGAAAAATAGGATTTGGTGGAAAAAATAGGAAAATGGTGGACCGGTGGGAGATGAAAATTCTTTCACCAAAAAATTTGGTGGAAAAATAGGATTTGAGTATTTGGTGATATGGGGGTTGACCACGGTGGGAGGCTAAAACCAGATCTCTATAATTTTAGGTGTAATGGTGATATAGGAAGTTTGGGTGGGAGGCTAAAAACACCTAAATTAGATGAAAAAATGGTGTTATGGTGTCCGGTCAGAGATGCTCTTAAGCCCCCCAACTCTCGAGTCGAGATGGGAGACATGTTTAGGGGAATTCGGCTCGTGTCGAGAGTTAATTGTGTCGTGGCTTGAATAGTTTCCGTTGGCGTTGAATTGATCTCCGTAATTTAAATCAGGGATAATTGTATTTATTTGGCAGCGAGTTATATATTTAAGGGTTTTAAATAATATATCCCGGCCAGATAAATAGACTCCTTTTGCGGTGGAAGGAATTAAACTTCAACTTCTGCGTAATAAATATGGGTATGTATTTAACGTTGTTCAAGATTTGCGAGGAATTCAAGATAGGGTATAGTCAGCTAACCCCGACTGCTGTTCTGATGTTCGAGGCGTTTCACCATAGAGTGTCTCGAGTAGGTCTGCCTGTTACTGTGAGTTTGTTTAAGGCCTTATTTACATTGCATCGACCAACTAAGCTACCGTTCTTCTGCGTTCATCCTCGCGTTCCATAACAATTTTTTAAGAGTGTGAAGTTATCTTTGGGGAAATGGAAGTCCCAATTCCTTTATGTAAGGGCCCCCTTTTTTGACGTCCCTCTAGTATGGAAACCTACGTGTGAGAGCTTCAAGATTACTGCGAATATGGCGAAGAGGATTGAAGAGTCTAGGTTGTGCGAGGTGGAATTTGACCCGAGGTGTTTGATACCGGATGGTCAGCAACATATATCCTTTTGTCGTGTTGACTTGGTTTTTTTTTTTTTTTTTTTTTTTTTTAAGTGTTGTTCTTTGGTGGTATTTATCTCATGTCTCTTATGTGGTTGTTTTCTTTTGTAGATGGGTGTATCACCTTTGCGGCACTTCGAGCTAAGGCGAATGGGACGTCGAAGAAGGCATCGAAGAAGGTTCCCTCTACGTTGGGAGGCTCTGCGGGTGGTTTGTCTCGAGAGACGGTCCATGTAGAGACTCCTCGGGTGATCGAAGACGACCGTAGCTGTGCTGGTGAAGTGGAGGAGCGTACACTTACGAGAGACCGTGGCAAGGGAAAGAGGGTAGATACTGAGTACGTGGTTGTGCCAAAGCATCCACGGGTAGACCCAGAGGAGATGTATGATTTCCATGGTGGGGCAGGGAAACAGTTGTTTACCTTTGGCATGAATCGTGAAGGGAAAGAGTCGTATTGGGATGTGTCGGACCATGATTTGCCGATGTTAAGTACCGAGGGATTCGTTCGGGAGTACGACCGTGCTCGGATGTCTGGTAAGGGTCCTTCTCACATTTTGGAGTTGGCTGGTGGGGACATATGTCGGGTGAGTACTTGTCTATTTAAAACAAGATTTTACGTTTATTTCCTCTCTTTCTTGTTTAAAAAATTATTATTATTATTAATTTTTTTTTTTTTGTATAGTTGGTACCGACTTGGAGATATCTCATGTAGCAAGATGGGAACGTGGAAGCTAGGAAGGAAGATGAGAGGGCTCCAAATCAGGCGCGTGAGGATGAACTTCGTAGCCAGTTGGAGATAGCGCGGTCCGATCTTGCTCATCGGACGGAAGAGCTTGCTGAGAGGACAGATGAGCTTGCTCAGAGGACAGAGGAGCTCGAGGTTTTCAACGGTGAGGCGAAGGCGTATAAGGATGATGTTCAGAAGTTGAACGAGTGCTATGACCAGCTCAAAGAGAAATACGAAGTTGAGAAGGCAACGGGGAAGAGGTTCCTCGCGACGTCAGGTGGTGCTGCTTTTGAGGAGTCCATCGTGGAGGAAACCAAGCTTAGCTTCCGAGGTAGTGCTGAGTGTGCTACTATGATTGAGGAGCATGCTTTGGCTGTGGTCTACAAGCCATTAGTTCGTGCCTGTCGCAAATACCTTCGCGAGGCGGGTGGTATCAGTGAGAAGGTTATTCGTGGGATGGAAGCCGGCATATCCGATGAAGAGGAGGATGAGGTAGATGTCAACGAGACGGGCACATAGCTCGTAGATGACATGGTTGCTGATGACCCCACTGTGGGGGCGTCTACCGCCCGTGGTGGGGGAGTTTAGATTTATTTGCTACGATAGTTAAACTCCCCCTTTTTTTTATTATTTGCTATGGATTTCTTAGTTTATTTTTATCGCTGATGTAGATGGGTATGTCCACTACTATTTCGTTTGAATCTCTTCCTTGTTTGACATTTGAAGTTTGATATTTCGATTTATTTATTTTGACATTGTCAAGAGTTTTATGCGTTGCTTATGTGTATTAATATTTAGCGTTGTACGCGATGTACTTGAGGAGGGGATCAATCTCCCAAGGTTTTTGTTAAGGGTCGTGCCCATTGTTTGGACCGCTTGGGTCTTAAATATATTTGTCCGTGGCCACGTTTTAAAAGTAACACCTCGTGAAACAAATAAAGGGACTTAGACAATCCAGCTGGCCAGGCTATATGGTTTATCTAAATCTCTCTAAGTGTTTGTAGGGTTGTATTGAATTCAACTCATGGTAAGAGGTAAGTTGTATTGATGTAATGGCACAGAGAGTAAAGCAAAAATTTTGATTTATTCAATGATAGCAAAGGAGAATTGTTACAAGCCTATGTGAGGCGAATGGAAATAAATTGCTAATGTCATAGGCCTACGTGAGGCGAAGGTAAATAACTACTGCTAAAGCAAATACATTGACTCGATAAAAATTCTTCTAAGTGATTGTACTACACTTGTTCTTCTTCCACGTCTTCCTTGTACTTGTTCGTTTCGCTGTGCTGATGGTAGATTGAATTCCTTTGGCGTCTCTATGCCTGCAAAGTATAGTTGAGAAAAACATTGTTTAAACACTTGTATGGAAGACTTAGTAATTGAAGCTGGGGTGATGTGTACTGCAATTTCACGTACCCTACTACGGGGATTGCTTTCCTCGCACTCCGAGATATGAAATCAACTCGTGAGTTGTTGTGAGTTGCTATGTGATCATGCATGTTAGTGGAATTATTTTATCACGTTAGTAAGAGTAAACAAGAGCATGCGTGTGTTGTATTCTAGTGGAAGTATTGTTACCCCTGGCGATGTGGTATGGAGTGTCTTCGCTCATTGGGCCATTGACTGAGTAATATGCATCCCCTCGTAATTGGTTCTCAATCTGTAAGAAGATGATGAGATGTGATTATGAATTGCTGATGTAAGTAAAATTACTATCCCCCCAGTTTAGGTGGGACGTCTACGCACCTCGTTATGGAGTAGAAAGTTTCCAAGCATGTAGAGACAATTTTGTGAGACGAGTGACGTGGAAGGTCGCGGAGCCTGCAGGGGTAACGATTTGTAAGTAATTTTCATATAGGAGGGGTATGGGTGGTGACTTCAACGGATCTTAAGTAAGGTAGATGTATACCTTAAGCGTAGAACCGTTTGAGGTTCCCTATATTCCATGTTCTGGGTATAGGGTGTCCGTCAGTGTTCTCGAGGCGATATGCTCCAGTGTTGACCACTTTTGTGATTTTATATGGTCCTTCCCACTTTGGATCGAGCTTACCAATGGGGTGAGAGGCTTCAGCTTTTCGGATGACTAAATCTCCAACTTGAAAGGATCGAGGGCGGACCTTTGAGTTATAGGCCTTGGCCATGCGTGATTTATACATCTGTTGTCGGATGCATGCGATCTCTCGTAGCTCATCTACGAGGTCTAGGCTCCCCCGCATAGCTTCTTCGTTAGTTGTTGGATCATAGTTGGTGATTCTCCAAGATGGTTCACCGATTTCAACGGGTGCGATAGCCTCTGTGCCGAAAGCTAGATTAAAAGGCGACTCTCCGGTTGCTGCTCGTGGGGTTGTGCGATAAGCCCATAGGGCGTTAGGCAATTCTTCCACCCACTTCCCTTTGGCACTTCCAAGCCTTGTTTTAAGGTGTTGGAGTATGGTGCGATTCGTGACCTCCGTCTGGCCGTTAGCCTGTGGATTGGCTACGGATGTGAAGAACTGTTTGATGTCCAAGCCGAGGCACAAATTCTTTACTTTGTCGCCGCAAAATTGGGTTCCATTATCTGAGATAATGGAACGTGGGATCCCAAAGCGACACACGATGTTCTTCCATAGGAATTGGATGACTTCTTCTTCTTGGATGCATGCTAAGGGTTCAGCCTCCACCCATTTTGTGAAGTAATCCACTGCTACAATGAGGAATTTGCACCCTCCCGTGGCGGGCGGGAATGGTCCAACTAAATCCATTCCCCATTGGGCGAAAGGGATGGGGCTGTCAATCGGTTGCATTAATGCCGCTGGCAGGTGAGGGATATTGACATGTTCTTGGCAGGGCTTACACCTCCGGACTAATTTCTTTGCGTCTTCATGCATCGTTGGCCAGTAGTAACCTTGCCTCAGTAGTTTGAGAGCTAATGTTCTCCCGCTCAAGTGATTTCCGCAGATACCCTCATGTACTTCTCGAAGTACGTAATTTGCTGTGGTCGAGTCGAGGCACTTGAGATAGGGGAATGAGAACCCTCGTTTGTACAATTCTTCCCCCACTATGACGAAGCGAGCGGCTCTCGTTTTTAACTTCCGTGCTTCAGTGAGATCAGTTGGGAGTTCTCCCTTCTTGAGATACTTCATGATTGGAGTGAACCAGCATGGATCATCCTCCTCGGTGTACTGTACTTCACTGGGTGAAGTTATCTCCGGCTGAGGTGAGGTGAGGAGCGTCACCTTCCGACTTCCGATGCTTGCCATGGAGCTTCCAAGCCTAGGTAATTTGTCAGCATGGATGTTACTGGAGCGGGGTACTTGTCTTATCTCGTAGCTCTCGAATTTAGATAACAGAGTGTGCGTGAGAGCCAAATATTTGGCCATGGAGTCTTCTTTGGCCTCGTAAATTCCAAGTATCTGGTTAACGATGAGCTGAGAGTCGCTTTGGATTAGGAGCTTACGCGCTCCGGCTGCTAAGGCGAGGCGGAGTCCTGCTATCAGTGCTTCATACTCAGCGACATTGTTTGAAGCTGTGAATTCGAATCGTTGAGCATCATATTCGAATTCATCTCCGTCAGGGTTCGTTAGTACGATACCCGCGCCACCTCCTGTGGCTGTGGAAGATCCATCAACGTTGATAGACCAAGTAGGGAGAGAGGTGCTCTCTTCTACCGAGGTCATTTCTACTAAAAAGTCGGCCAAGACTTGTGCCTTGATGGCGGGGCGGGGTTTGAATTCTATTCTGTACTCACTCAGCTCTATCGCCCATTTGGCTAGTCACCCGGATGTCTCGGGACTCCTTAATATCTGCTTCAATGGGTAATTGGTGAGAACCACCACTTGATGTGATTGGAAGTAAGGTCGGAGTTTTCGAGCTGCATTAATGAGGACGAGAGCGAGCTTCTCCATATTTGTATAGCGTTGTTCGGCTCCTTGAAGGGCGCGACTAATGTAATATATGGGTTGGTGACCTTTTCCTCCATCTCGGATGAGGACTGTGCTAATGGCATCAGCTGAGGTGGCTAAGTACAGCAGGAGGGTGTCTCCAGGCTGAGGTTTTGTAAGCAAGGGTGGTGATGCAAGATATGACTTCAGCTCGATGAATGCCTTTTGACATGCTTCATCCCATTCAAACTTTTTTCCTCCCCTTAAAATCTTGAAGAAGGGGAGAGCCTTGTCCGCTGATCTTGAAATGAACCTATTCAGGGATGCCAAACAGCCGTTAAGCTGTTGGACTTTCTTGATAGATGTTGGTGGAGCCATGGAGGTGATTGCTTCGATTTTCGCGGGATTAGCTTCGATTCCCCGTTGCGAAATCATGTATCCCAAAAATTTGCCTCCCCGAACTCTGAATGAACATTTGAGGGGGTTGAGTTTCATCTTATATTTTCGCAGGGTGGCGAAACACTGATCCAAATCGGTTAAGTGGTCCGAGACCTTGACACTTTTGACGAGCATGTCGTCGATATACACCTCCATATTCTTACCGATCTGATCTGCGAACATTGTGTTCACTAGACGTTGGTAGGTGGCTCCTGCATTTTTTAATCCGAAAGGCATGACTTGATAGCAATAGATGCCTTGGTCTGTGACGAAGCTGGCCCTCTCTTGATCTTCTGGGGCGAGCAAAATCTGATTGTACCCTTGATACGCATCGAGGAAGCTGAGGAGCTCGCACCCCGAGGTCGAATCGATGAGTTGGTCGATTATAGGTAGATGAAATGGATCCTTAGGACAAGCTTTGTTGAGGTCAGTGAAATCCACGCATAACCTCCACTTGCCCCCGGGCTTGGGAACGAGTACTACGTTCGACAACCATTCAGGATACTGAACTGGTCGTATATGACCTGCCTCTAGAAGTTTCGCTACTTCCGCCTTGATGTGTTTGTTGCGTTCGGGACCAAATGTCCGCTTCCTTTGTTTGATCGGTTTCAATCTTTTGTCGACATTGAGCCGATGTAGAGCTACCTGAGGGGGAATGCCCGACAAATCTTGGGCCTTCCAAGCGAACACATCTCCATTGTGTCGTAGGAAGTTGACTAGCTGCTGTTCCATCTTTGGATCTAGATCGGATCCGATTCGTAGGAGCTTGGAATCATCTCCGGGTGTGAGCTCTACTAGCTTAAGCTCTTTGACGGCTGCTAACTTGATGCTGTCGTCAGGTACACTGATAAGGATTTCTTTATCATCCTCGATGATCGCGTTGACCCACTTCCGTTTGTCGGATTTTTGAGTGTCGTCTCCCCTTCCGGACGTTTAGGCTTCTTGGAAGGTTCTCGTAGGGCCCTTGCATAGCACTCTCGGGCGAGACGTCGATCTCCAAGTATTTCCCCCGTTCCATAAGGAGTGGGGAATTTCCACTTTTGATGGTAGGAGGAAGGCACTGACTTGAATGTGTGGATGGCTGGCCTCCCTAGGATGACGTTGTAGGGGGACGGCTTGTCGACGATGAGAAATTTGATTATCTTGGTGATTCGACAAGGGTTTTCCCCTAAGGAGATGGGCAATTCCACTTCTTCCATAGATAACACGCCCTCTCCCGTGAATCCTTTTAGGGGCGTGGAGATGGGGTTAAAGCGGGCATTATCTATGCCTAGCTGCTTGAAAGCGTGGAGATACATTATGTCGGCTGAGCTTCCCCCGTCCACTAATATTTTCTTAACCAATAAGTTGGCCACCGCTGTGATCACTAGTGCATCGACATGATCTTCATCTGGACCTTCAAGGTCCACAGAGTTGAAGATTATGCTCTGATCAGGTCTTCGTATCTGGTAGATAGATGCGGATGAAGAGGCATGCTCTTGATTCATGCGTGCTGACCGAGCTAGGGAGCGTCTCGCATTTTGTGAATCACCACCCGCCGGTCCTCCAGAGATAAAAGCAATGACCCCCCGAGTGGGTTGATTATCATTGTTCTCATGCTCTCGCCGATGTCCCCCCTCCTCTCGTCGTTGTGGTTGATCTCGATTGTTATCTCGGCGTGGGAGGTCATCACGGCGCTTGTTTCGAGTCTTGTCAATGTACTCGCCTAAGTGGCCCTGCTTGATCAATCTTTCAATGGCTACCTTGAGTTGTGCACAATCCTCGGTAGTATGTCCTCTATCTTTATGGAATCGACAATAGCGATCTGACTTTTCTCGTTTCTCATTTGGCTGCATAGGACGTGGAGGTTCTGTTAAACCTCTTTGTTCGATCACATGAAGGAATTCAGTGAGGCGAGTGTTTAGTGGAGTGAACCGATTGTATGAGGAAGATGATTGGCCTTGAGATGGGGGTGGTGGACGTCTATCATCTCGTCTTCTAATGTCCTGTCGATCGTCTTCCCTCTTCCTCTTGGGAGGAGCATGGGTAGAAGCTTCCTCTATTCGCACGTATTTCTCGGCTCGGTTCAACAATTCCTCTAGGTTGCCTGGAGGTCTTCCGGCGATAGATTATTTGAATCTACCCGGCTTCAAGTTTTGTTGCATAATCCCACAGAGCATGTCTTGCCCTACACTGGGGACTTCATGGACGGCTTCTACGAAACGCTTGATGTAGTTGCGGAGCGTTTCGTTATCTCTTTGTACTACAGAGAAAAGGTGGGCTGGGGTCTTGGCATACTGCTTGTTGATGGCGAATTGATTGGTGAACCGTGTTGACAGCCGAGCGAAGGTGTCAATCGATCATGCGGGTAGAAAGTTGAACCAATTCATAGCTCTCTTTGAGAGAGTGGTGCGGAACATTTTGCACATCGCAGCGTCCGTCGGGCCGTATAAATCCGCCATGGCGTTGAATTTCTCTATATGCTCTTGCGGATCGGTGGTCCCTTCAAATTGAGGTAACCCCGAGATCTTCACTCCTTGAGGTAATACCTCGTTGAGGATGTCTATGGTGAAAGGACTGCGTCTTACTGGGACGGGCATTCTTTCACCCATTGGATTATTCGGTTGAGGGAAAGGAATTTGGCGAGACATTCTGCTGTTTACCTCGCCTTCTTCCTCATTAAATAGAGGGACTCTATGCGGAGACGCATTGCCCCGTGAGGGTGAGCGCTGACGTTGCTGTCTGGGCTGTGCCCCCCTGTGATTGGTGGATAGCTGCACTCGGGACCGTGGGTCCGAGGTGGAGGAGGATACACTTATTTGGTTTTGAATTGGCGGTGGTGCCATAGGTTGCACCGTTGGTGGAGCTGGCGGTGGTATCGCATTGGGAGCGTTTGCTCCCATCGTGGCGATATATTGAGTCACGGCTTCGGTGGCGACGCGAGTTGAGGCTTCTGCTATCATGCGTTGGAGCGCATCCTCGGTTATTTGAACCGTTCGAGGAGCAGGCAGTGGCGGATCGGCGAGTGGTGGGTCCCGAGGGGGGATCACCTGAACCTCGCGAGGCGGATCCGCAGCACGTGGAGGAGGTGGCAAGCCAAATCCTCCACGGACTGGGAGGTTGTTAGCTGTGTCATTTTCTCTCCGAGCATACGCCTCAGGAGGATCTTGTTGGCTACGTGATCTGGTTTGCATCGTTCCCACAGACGGCGCTAAAATGATGATGCTAAAGTTTAGATCACCTGGGGTAGTGTAGAAAACGAGCTGGGAGAGCAAAGCGGATCAGTAGCTTGACAACTTGATGATCCTGAGGTCCCAGCGAAATGAGCACACGTGAACTAAGCCGGGGGTTGATCCGGCGGAAACCCCCTGACGCTCAAGTCAGATGTATGGATCGTGGAAATAGTAGAGAGAATAAGCACTCTAGATTGTTGGTGAATTATCGAATGTACCTTAACAAATGAGTAAAACATCTATTTATATGTCGTTGATTTGGATGGGCTTACTTTGTTGGGTCCAAGCCTCACTTTGAAGGTGCTTGGGCTTTCGTATAGTGGGCCCAATTGTAGGTGATTGGACTTTCGTGTATTAGGCCTAATTATTAGATAAATTGGGACCATTGGGTCGGCCCAATTAAGTATATCAATAATTGTTTATCAAAATTCAAACTCAAATAACCAATATCTAAAAAATAATATTTAGAATTTTACCAAATTTGGAAAAATAGAAACGAATTGTGCATGGCTCACCATCTTATCTCTGTATTAGAAACTGTACTTAAGATCTCCCAAATTGCTAAGGAGCATTCGACTGACGTTTTTGCTGCTGAGACCTTAGCTATCAAAGAGGCCACTATCATCTCAAATAAGGCGAAGGCAGCTAAAGTCATCTTTGAAACTGATTCTCTTGTCGCTACCAGCTTCATTAATGACCCTGCTAGCGAAATGGAAATTTCGATTCTCATCCATAAGCGCAACACCCGCCGCTCACAATCTTGCCCATTGGGCTCTTCGGTGAATTGGGAGGTCTTGTCCCTCGTAATGTTATCCCTCTTTCCCTTTTTTTGCGATTATGGATTTCCGATTGTAGACTCTTCTTCGTTTTTATTATTATGTGATTGTCTTTTAATCATAAAAAAAGAATTATCATTTAACTTGTCCTACACTATTGACTAACTTAATTTAGCAGAATTTGTTTTTCTATTTTGTCCAAAAATAACACATAAAAACCCTTGAATGAAAATGGAGACGCAACTCACTCTAGTTCCTTTGGGATATGCGCTAAGACTACCCGGTGAAGATGACCCGATATAGGATGTAACCCAATTTTGCATTTTTTTTTCTAAAATTGGATCAGATATTGATCCATACAAGCTATTGGAATATTGGGTCACATTTGAACCGGTTCAACCACTGTTCAACGTTTTTTTATTTTCATTTTTTAACTATTTGTAATAAAGAAAGCATATTTTCTTTCACACACATTAACTAATTACTTATTTTTAAATTGAAGCGTAAATCAAACCCACTTTTATTTTACACACACAATATATAAACACACACTATCACACAGAATCATTTCAAATATTATAGAAATTATAGTCTAAAATAGTATGTCTTCCAATTTCAAAGTTTCTTATTTTGAATTTTTTTTGTTATTCAAATATGTAGTAAAAAGGCGTCGCTTTAGTCATTTTGTTTGTATATTTTAAAAAAATGCACAATTTTGCAAAAAAAACCCAATTTTCACTGGGGTTCCGATATTACGATTCAACCGGTCAAACCGAACAGGGCAAGACAATAGTTCGCGGTTTAACCAGCCTGACATTAAGATAGACACAAATTTCAAAATTTGTTTCTACCAAGCTGACCCAACTTCGAAACAACACTGCTTGTAATAATAGAAACCAAAAAAAAAAAAACAAGAGTACATTACATGAGACTATCATAAAATTAAAAACCACATAAAAACACAGTGAACTACTTTCTTTTGTTACACACTATGTTCTATGTGATGTCTTCTTTTTGCTGCTATACACACCAAGTAATGGACTCATATTTTCTCATTTTTATATATATATATATATATATATATATATATATATATATATATATATATATATATAAAACAAACTGTATTGTCAACTTCCCATTGCTTCTTGATGACTATGCTTAATCAGAAAGTTCCAAGCAAGCAATGCAGCACCTACTGCAGGCTCCACCTTTTTTTATTAACGGGCAAAAAAACAACGGAAAAACATGCTTAGAACGTGAAACAAAGAATATGTACGAAAAAATACGGTTATATATAAGTCTCGTGAATTTGCAAAATTTTAAACAACAATTCCCAAAATGAGCACCTCTCGACTTCCATGTATTCATATGTATACATATATAAGTCTCGTTATTTAGATTATATATAGTTCGGCTACCATAATAAATAACTAGTCAGATTTGAGATGAGAACTAGTTGGCAACAACGAAGAAACACTAAAGATTATAACATCAAGTTGTTTAGAACCAATCTTGAATGAACATCTTTAACACCGAATATTCAATTAAAAAAAAAAAATCATCGTAAATAAAATATGGCTTTATCAGTTGGATAAATGAAAATTGTATCTGAAAAACCACGGCCACGGACTGAAAATGACGAAAATAGCCTTACCTTGGGGCGAATTGGAAGAACACCTGGGAAATCCTTTGAGATGCAACTCATGACTTGGTTACCAATGTCCCATCTCTTATTGGCTTCAAGAACACTACCAACCATCACTAGTGGAAATTCGTCTTTTCCATCTGCGTGCATTCACAAAATGTATTTTACAATAAAAGTAAAATTATAACACGATCGATAATTCAAAAATGAAATCGCGAATGTAATTGTAAAAAAGGCACCTTCACCACATAGCTCCAATCTTTCGACGACTGCTTTGACACTTGACGCCAACTCATGCACGGAATTGTACAAGATGTCAATTGCGACAGGGTCCATTGCATCCGCACACGAAACCACGACTGGAAGAAGTTCTGCTATTCGAGCCCACGAGGGGTCCGCGTAGGTCCACCTTAAACCCAAATTACAGATACCTTCTTATAACCTTCTATTATAAATTTATTAATTCAATTACACAACCGTAAATAAAGATTTAAAAGGCATACATACCCTATAAGTTGGTCGGGTGAAGAAAGTTTAAGTGTGTCGAGAATAGAATTAGTAAGAGTAGTGAGTGGACCGCGACCGTCGTGGGCCCTTATTACAGCAGTGAGTGCCTGTGCAGCTATACCATAACCACTGCAACCAAAGACACGATGAAGTCTTAAGTTCCTGTAATAAGAGAGAGTATCGAGATCGAGTAAAGAAAGTAAAACACGAAGGAATAGTACCTTCCCCAGTCACCTAAAACGGGGCCCGCACCAGCAGCGCGAGCTTGTCTGCCATCTTCAGTGAAGCCATAAGCAATAGTACCAGTGCCAGCTATCAGCACACATCCATGTAGTTTCCCCATCGTCCCGCTCGCCAGAGCCGCCACAGCGTCGTTCTCAACGAATAACCTCACGTCACTCGCAAATATTTCTCTACACACACACACACAAACAAACGTTAACTAACTAACTAGTATCGGATTTGTTTCAGGAAATAGATATTGACTAGTCTAGTCTGGTGTCGTAATCGAGAACAAAATTCCGAAGCAACCTGAGCCAATTGAGTATGCGATGCTGATCCGTTGGATGGTTGACACCGGAAACCGAGAGACAAACGGCTTCGACGGACGAACGAGTCGAACGTGACCTTGCGAGAGCATCCGCCATTACTTGCTCCAAACTCTCTCTAGCTGCTGTTTCTGTAAACACAAACCAATTTGGTAAATTCATTAAAGAATGAATCATAGTACTTAGCAAATACAAGAGCAGTATAACAACATTATCTGAATTGATTAAAAGAATATTTACAGAGATATATATAAATACCACCAACGCTGTTGTGGTTGGAGCAGCCGGCAACGGTTCGGGCAAGGACGGGCAGAGGATCGGGCAGGTGGTGAGTGAAGGGTATAAAAGGCATACAAATGCAAACTGTATGTGCGGTCCCACCATCTATACCAAGAATCACCTTCTTAACATCATCATCATCTCTATCAACCATCTTCAATTCATGCTCAAAATCCCAGATTCTTCTATTCCTATACCTCTTCATTTCACTAATCCCGAAGTAAAAAATTAAAAAGAATTGCAGCTTTGGGAGTGTGTTGTCAACTGGGTTTTTCTTCTTCTTCTTCTTCTTCTTCTTCTTGTTGAAGAATTGAGTGATTGGTCGGGGTGGGGGGTTAAAAATGGTTGAATTAAGGAATATAATATTCGGGCGGCAACAAAGAGACAAATGGTTGGAGGTAATTGTTGTTTGATTGTATGTGAAATCGACGAGTCTGCAGAGCAGAGGAGGAATTGGATTTGAATAATACAGGTTCTTGATTCGTGGATTGCACGCACATAAACTATTCGACGAAATGACCAACCTTTTCTGGCTTACTATATTTGAATATGCATGTATATATATAATAAGCAAAGATCCTTGTCCTCGTGTGATTTGGCCTTGAAACCATGACGTTGATTTATATTCCATGTGGTGTGCGTTTAAGGATTTGGTTCTATTATTCATCCTATTCTTGATGTTGTTATTTGTTGAAATGTTTATGGCCATCATTTTTTTTATGAATTTTATATTATTGTTTCTTAAATTATTAAAATTACGGGGTTTTTGCTCATAAATACCTATTATCGAACAATGTTTACTATTCAGTCCTTATACGTTTTTTCTTTGTCTACACTCCCTACTTTTAATTTTCACTTACACTTCACTCCCTACCCCATCCGAAATGTCTGGAATACCCCTCTCTTTAATACCAAATAACATCCGCCCATTCTATTCCTTTACAGAACGCGTTTTTTTTGTAAAAAATGTGCCGAACAAAAACACGCTTTTTCTGATATGTTTTTGTCAAAAGAATACGTTTTTTCGTAAAAATGTGCCGAACAAAGCACGTTTTCCAGATACGAAACGTCGGTTCGACTTTGAATAAACCCAACGTTGTGAATACCCGCGAAGAAGAATTAGTTGACGACAAGAAAAAAAGAAAAGAAAAAAAAGAAGAAGATATACGAAAATACTCCACTAGTCTTCAACCTCGAAGCAGAGAAAATACGAAAATTAACCTGCTTTGAAGGTTCGGTTCTTGCTCTGAAACAATTGCATGTTTATTTGAAAAATTATAGAAACCCAATTTCAAAAACCCTAAAATTACACAATAAATTTTGTGCTTTTGTTGCTGAGTAAAACACCTTCGCGAAAACGTCTTGTTTTTTGTCGAATTGAATGATTTTGAGTATTTAAGTGGATGGGTTTTGTGATTACACACACATGTTTAGTATATTGTAAGAGACATGTGCGTTTATACCCAGACCCTTTTGGTCAAAAAACTCTGCCTTTTTAGTTTTTTCGAGTTTGATTATTATTTTTTTAGCTATGGTAGTAGACTAAATTACAAAGCATTTTCGTATTCCCATAGAATTTATGTAGTGTTTAGTTTTTTACCCATTTGTATACAAACTAAATAAAAAGCGTATAATGCATAAATGTATATAGTATTTAAAAAACAACTACGCTTTGTACCTTTTTTCTAAAGTTATCAATCAAGTGCCAAACAATAAGTATGGTGGCTATCGGGAAACATCTTTGGGACTACTTTGAGAATCCCAGAGTGACGGTCGGAAAAGAAAGTAAAATTTACATACGACAAAATTCCGCGAGAAACTAAAATTTATCTCAACTTGAGGTAAAACCATTCCCAATTCACGTTATTTTCGGAACTAACAACTGCATATGCAATCGTGAATAGATCATCGTCTGGATCCTAGCACACAACACTAAGCAAGCATCCTTGTTTTTAATATGTGTTCCATCTAAAAATATCATGGGCCTACATGCACGAACAAAACCATCGATACAAGCCCTAAACGCAATAAACATCCGAACAAACTGCTAAGTAACAGAATCGATCTCATAATCTGCAATACTCACTGGATTTGTAGTTTTTACAGTGCGACAATATCTCCTTAATTTATCATAAGACATACGCTCAGCTCCATGGATGTTATGCATCGCTATTTCCTTACCCCCTCAATGCTTTGTGATACTGAATATCCACACCATAGTCTTTTTGGATATCAATCAACATTTCAATGGCTTTAGGATGACTTCTTGATTTTTCCTTTATGATGACTTCTTGAACGGAGACTATCCATTTCACACGTGTGGCGGAGATCATCTTTTCGGATGCAAAATAACGAATCTGCGGCATGCACGATGCATAAACTCGCCATTTGTATATATTCCGCATCAACGCAAACAACTATGATTTTTTGCCAATCATTTTTCTTATATTAAATGATCACAAATTGGCAACACAATATTTCTTTAGCATTACTCTAAACTCATCAGCACCTCTGAAACTTTGGCCCTCTCCTCTAATAGAGTGTCTCCATGCATCAATTGAGGATTTAAGAAGCACATTGTTCGCATCCTCTTGTTCAAATAATGGCAACCTTTCAGATGAAAATAAATAATTAAACTAATCAGCGATTATACTATATTTATTGTGAAACGATACGTCCTTAAAATACGTTATCTAACGGATATCGCCAAGTATACAATACTACAGTAACGTACATACATATTTACCACGTGTGTATACGTGTTATATGTACACTAAATACGTTAATGTAAACATTAATGAGTAAATATTAACCTTCTATTGTCCTGGGCGTTGTCACGCAAATGAGCCTCGTCGTCTCTCTCGTTTCTATTCATAAACAGGTCAACGATGTTCATCTTCATAATCGAATACATCAATAGCATTGTGCGCACGTCCTCGTCGGTGTTCAACCTCACGTGAATTCTTTCACGGGGGCCTAGGTATTCAAGTACCATTGTGCTGAATTTTGCATCAGACCACCTCTGTCTACAATCAAATAAAGGTCCGCCAGAGTCGCATTATTCTTGATGGCGAAGATATGGAACTGTCCCCTGGATCGATACCTTGCTAAGATTTCGACAGGGGGTTGTTGATCGTCATCCTTTGCTTTCATTGTTCCCGTATGTAGCAGACGGACATACCTCAAATTAAAGCAAAGACAACAAAAAAAGGCCGGTCGACGGCGACCAGTGGCAGAGACAATAATCACGACAACGACCAGAGGATGAGAGAATGAAGACGAACATCGTTTTTTTTTTGCCTCGGTAAGTTTAGAATGATGCAAGATACAGACATGTTTGGGAACTAGGATAATTGATTGAAAGTGGGTGTTTGACTGTAATTTAAACTTCAAATCATTCGATTTATGAACCTACGTTATGTAAGCACAGTGTCTACGTTCTTGGAGAACAATGGTAAACAATTACCGTTCTCTATTCATACGATTATCGTGCTCTAGTCATACGATTTATGAACGCGATACATAACACATACGTTATGGCGAACAACGGTAAACAATTACAGTTCCGTAGTCATACGATTCTTCGAATACAATTATTTTTTCAATAAATATTGAGTTTATTGATGTTTTAAACATGTTTTAGGGACATGTAATGGCTACTAATTATTTATAAATTAAAAAATTCTTAAACTTTAAATATTGAAAATCACGGTATTACACATTCAACACAAACGTATGTCTAGAGTACCTAATAAGTATAGTCGATTGCCATATAATATATATGTTATGTACCGAAAAGTATCATCGATATGTGTGTCAATGTTCGCGGCAAAAGGAATTGCAGGGGAAGATTGCCCGTAGCCCATGTCGTTTCTCCCAAAAATTGTTTCCGATTCACAATTACACCGATCATATTCAAGATCATCATACAATGCACAATCCATATCCCTGGTGAAAATTCGTCAAGAACAAAAACCGATAATTAAAAAAGAAAAAAGGAAGAAGAAGGAAGAGCAAGATGAAGAGTAAGAAGAATACGATGAAAACAAACAGGGATGATGATGACAATCTGGAAAAAAAAGTTGTCGTTTTTTTTTTTCCCGGCGTTTTTTTAATTTTATTTTGGGTGAACGTTGGAGTTGTTTGGGAACTAAAATAATTGATTGAAGTAAGAATATGGAGTGTTTGGTTATAAGTATAGTAATATATATAGAAGAAAAAAGAAATACAAAATCAATTATCGAAGGGCAAACATGTCAATTCAAGTAGGTAGAGAGGAAGTGTAAGAGAAAGTTAAAAGTAGGGAGCGCAGACAAAGAAAAAACGTTTATGGACTGAATAGCAAAAGTTTTTGGGCATTAGGTATTTATGAGCAAAAACCCCTAAAATTACCTGTTTCTTTGTGCTTATTAGCAACTTTTCTTTTTTCCGGTGGGTAACGTTGCAAAAAGGAAGAAAATTTAAATACATAATAATTAAATTATATTAAAAAATTAAATTATGCAATATGAAAATAATAAATTGTGAAATTCAAATTATCAAAATAAAGTTGAATTAGGCAGAAATCCACATTCATGTGTGTGAGAGCTAGAGAGATTTTGTTTTACTCTTTCGATAATTAAAGTAGAAAATTTCCACATATGCGTGTGTAAAAGAGGGGTCAACAAAGAAATTGCAAAAAGAAGAAAAAAAAAACCATTTGAGTTAATTAGGATTTTGCTAGCCGATTTGTAAATTTCAATTGTTAAGAAAGTAAAAAAAAAAAAAAGGAAATGAATAAAAAACAATTAATTTAATAAAAATTATAAATATATAACGTTATTAGATGTTCGTAGGTTGCCCTAACATCTCTTAATTTTATATATAAAGATTCAGATCAACTTGTCTTAATTTATTGTATTTAGAGCATCTCCGACCGGTCGCTATATCGCCATTTTTTTCATCTAATTTAGGTGTTTTTAATCTCCCACCCGAAATTTTTATATCACCATTACATCTAAAATTATGAAGATTTGGTTTTAGCCTCCCACCGTGGTCAACCCCCATATCACCATACACTCAAATCCTATTTTTCCACCAATTTTTTTGGTGAAGGAATTTTCATCTCCCACCGATTCACCATTTTCCGATTTTTCCACCAAATCCTAATTTTCCTACCAAATATAGAGGTGAAAATAGGATTTAGTGTAATTAACACCATTTTATTAAGTAGCATATAAAATGACAATTTTAACTAATTGCACCCGATTACCAACTTATTAGCATATTTATCGTAAATACATTGGTGTTAAATTACTAAATTAGTTTTTAAATTATAAATACATCTATCATTATTAATAAAAATATTAGTTCTAATAATAGAATATGGTTATTTTTAATTAAATTTGTATTTTTTTTAATCAATGTTGATTAGTTTCTGATTTTAAATTAATTTATGTTGTAATATTTTATTTATGCAATAATTTATGAGATTATTGTTTATGTATGATTTTATTATATGTAAAATAATTTGAGTTCATATTCAGATAGTTTTTAAAATTGATAACAAATTTTTTAAATTATGTAGTTAAAAGAATTTATTACTTAACATTGGATCTATAATTAACACTTAGGAAATACAATATAATAAAATTACGATTAACATTAAATTTATATTTTTAGGCTTATATGGTGAAATGACATGGGAGACCAAACCAAATCCCATTTCCTATAAGTAGTGAAATGGTAAAATAATATTATTTTAATATTTGGTCTAAATTTTTGTGAAATCTATTGGAGAACAAAAACACCATTTTCCACCATTCGTGTACTACCGGTGGAAGATGAACCCATTTTTTCACCACCAAAAAAAGGATTTGATGAAAAAAATGATGAAACCGATTGGAGATGTTCTTAATAACCTATATTGTGTCGGATTGCTAAAAACCATGTATTACTAATATTTAAATAATTTTGACATGTCTAATTTTAAGAATACCATTCATTCAAAAAATTATTTTCTCTCTTTAAAACTCCCAAACCCCCAAACTTCACAAACACATCCAAGTTGGGCTTGGAAAATCACATCTCATACCCAAATCGAGCGTGAGAGAGACACTTTTTTAATAATTTAAGGTGGTGTTTGCAAATGATTATTTAAAAGCAGAAGTTAGTGATTGTGATTTAAGTTAGTTTTAAGTGCTTATTTCTAAAAGTTGGGGGTGTTTGCAAATATTTCGGAAAATGAACTAAAATTGAAAAAGCAGGGTTATGGGTGCTTTTAAAAAAATAGCTTAAAGCAGATTATTTTAAGAGAAGCAAAAGCAAAAGTTGATTTTGCAAACACCTAAAAACAGATTATGAGCAAAAAAATCGCATAATTACTTTCAAAAAACATTTGCAAACACCGCATAAGCCCAATTGGTTAAGTCTAAATAAACTTATCACAATTACTAATTAACTACTTTTTTTTTTGAGAAAAACTACTAATTAACTACTTATTAGGCCTAAAATGGCACAAGCCCACATAAACTTATTTAGGGTTTTAATCTAGCAGTTTGCGGTTAAAAAAAAAAATTAGGTTAAATTATTTTAAATTAGCCGTATGCTCCCACGTATCTCTTTTTTGTATTTTATAATATATTTTTCGCTAGGGTTTACTTTTAGGAGTTTTAGAAATATAAAAAAAGGGACACGTGGCAGCAGAAGACCTACCCTGTGTTTATCACCGCGTGTAGGGTCGAAGGAGCCAAATTTTTAATATAGAAAAAATGAATGTCCCTAGCAATAATAAAAAAAGATTAATCTATGGGGAATGTCCTTAACCATATTAACAATAAACCTTCTTAACACTCATTGCTCTATCTATATATTTGATGGGTAAATCAAAATATTTTCGGCTATCTAAAGAACAAATTCAATTGTATAAAATTTAAGTACAGATGAATATGTAATTTTCTTTTGCACATGATACGTGTGCCTTTTGTAATTGTTACTTGCTCGACAAGTGTGGGATTCGACAAATGGAAAAAAGGTTATAATAAATATTTGAAGTTAATTAATTTGGCTCCGCTAAAGACTATCAAATATTGTTACCCAAATATTCATTTTTTTTTTTACTTATTTAATTAAATTTAAATTTGTATAAAAATTATTAAAATTCCAATAATCCACAATTTGAATCGACTCATCACTCAAGTCATTTAAATTGTTGTTCATCTTCTTTTCATTTCATTGTACTCGTATCTACAATCCTATCTAGAAATGTAAATGACCCGACAAAGTCGAACCTTTTGAGGAGTTGGCGCCCGAGCTCATTTTTAGTTACTAATGAGTTGCTCGCGAGTTTTTTCATCTTTATTTCAAATAAATAATATAACAAATATAAATAATCCCAGTTCATCTCTTATTTTGTAACTTTTATTATAATATAAATAATTATATAATAAAAAAATAATAATATTTAGAAAAAAATGAACCAGAGCTCGAGCTCGACAAACTCAACTCGAACAAGAACGAAATTTGTCGACAAACTAATCAAATTTGCTAAGTTCGGCTCGACTCCGACTCGTTTATAATCCTAACCACTCACTTTTATATTCATTTCATTTACAATAGTATCTTAGAAAAATATCTATAGGCTTTTATACTGTGGACCCCACCACACCCGAAGACCGCCTCGTATATTATTCATTCATCAGTTGCTTGCTTAACTCTCATTTCATTCGTCGCCCCTTTCCTAAACCCTAACCAAAACCCTTCCTCCACTATTTAGGGTTTATATCTCTCTCTCTTCTCCTTCACACTAAATTCTCTTTCCACAGAGAAAAAAAAAAATAAAAAATGGGCAGCCTTCTTTTGATTAGGAGATCTTCTTCATCATCGTCCAAGAGATTAGCTATCACCGCTCTCAGCCATTTCTTCTGTGAGAAGCCGCTCCCGATTCCGTCAAATGCCCTCTTTTCTCAACATATTCACACCTCTGCCACTGGTTCCTTTCTCCCCAAACCTTCTTCTGTATTTGGATTGACCAAGGGTTTCCATTCGAGTCTGCCTTCGCGTGCTGGTTTTGCCGTCGCTGATTATTCTGACGCCGATGAGAAAAGGGCTTCGAGTGGGCCCTCACCCTCCGATGAAGGTCTTGAGATCTCCAAGCTTGGTATTTCTCAAGAGATCGTTGGGGCTTTGGCCCGTAAGGGTATCGAGAAGCTTTTCCCTATTCAGGTATCATTTAAAGATTCCTTCTTTTTTTCCAATTTCATGTTAATAGATCCATATCATTGGTTAATCTCTTCAAAGCTTTTTCAATGTGTGCAAGTGTTATGTTGCTAAGTTTTTTTTTTTTTTTTTTTTTTATCAGCAAAATTTATCCTGTGTTACTTGTTAATTTGGTGTTTTTCATACTGGAAATCGTATATATAACTTGGGTCCAAGTGTAGGATTGACAGGGCAGTAGTTGTAGTGAGTGAGATTATTACTAACATTGCACAATAGTGCGCATCACTTTGTGTTACTAATTGAAGAAGTAACGAAAATAATTTAAAGCTGTCTATAGCTTATGAGTTTATTTGTCTTGTTTCCAGTTTTTGATGCGACAGGGGAGTTGAGTACATATATGAATCTAATTGTATTTATTTTTAGTTATTCTCGTGTTTGTTTTAGACTCTTTGCATCTTGTTGATCAAATATAGTTCACGAATTTGTTTGCCTTTGTTTATGAGTGTCAATTTTTGCATTGTAGAGGGCTGTCTTGGAACCCGCTATGCAGGGTCGTGATATGATAGGCCGAGCAAGAACTGGAACAGGGAAGACACTAGCTTTTGGGATCCCTATCATGGATAAAATCATCAAGTTCAATGAGAAGCATGGGTTAGCTATCTTCCATCTTATTTCCCTATTACTTTCTTTGTTGAATAAATAATTAATTTGGAATTTATGTGTTGTTATAGGCTGATAATTTCTTATTCTTGTTGTCAATATTCAGACAGGGCAAGAATCCTTTAGCACTTATTTTGGCTCCAACCAGAGAACTTGCTAAACAAGTGGACAAAGAATTTGCAGAGGCTGCCCCAAAATTAGACACTCTATGCGTCTATGGTGGTGTTCCAATATCACGCCAGATGAGTACTCTTGATCATGGTGTTGATATCATTGTTGGAACGCCTGGCCGTGTCATTGATTTGATTAAGCGTGGTTCCTTGAATTTGAAGGAAGTGCAATTTCTTGTTCTTGACGAAGCTGATCAGATGCTTAACGTCGGGTTTGCAGATGATGTTGAGACTATTTTGGGATTTATTACACAGAAGCATCAGACAATGATGTTTTCAGCTACAATGCCAAATTGGATTTTGAGACTTACTCAGAAGTTCTTAAAGAACCCACTTACCGTAGACCTTGTGAGTGCAGCCCTTGTGTTTATGCGTTTGTGCTTCGATTTTTCTTATTTGAGCAAGCATTATAAATTGTAATTATGACTTCGTAGAATATTCTACTTTGACTTGCTAACCTTACATGAAAGGATTGGTTGAATGTGTGCTCAGGTTGGAGATTCTGATCAGAAGCTAGCTGATGGGATTTCCTTATACTCAATTGCAGCAGACATGCGAGAGAAGCAAGCAATTATTGGGAGCTTGATAACAGTATAAATTTAGAACTTCTATTTTTTATATTATTTAGTTAATTTTGTCTTGTGAGTGATTAAGTCTGTTCTGAACAAAAAAAATCTGGTTCATTTGATAATAGGAGCATGCAAAAGGAGGTAAATGTATTGTATTTACTCAAACAAAGCGTGATGCTGATCGATTGGCACATGCCATGCAAGGGAACTTTAAATGTGAAGCGTTGCATGGTGATATCTCACAAAACCAAAGGGAGAGAACTCTTTCTGCTTTTCGAGATGGAAGGTTCAATACTTTAGTAGCTACTGATGTGGCTGCCCGTGGACTTGACGTACCCAATGTTGATCTGGTGATTTTTCTTCTATATCTCTATTTGTACTTGTTTGCCTTCTTATATGACAGAATTTTGGATAAACTGCCTATGTGTTCTGTTTTTTTTTTTTTTTTCTTACTCTCTAAGAAATTACTTCACTCACTTATGTATACATATAATTTTTTTCGGATTCCAGTACATCTAAGGCTATATTTGGTGGGTAGAAACGTTTGAAAGACCTATCAACCAACCTAAGCTGTTGTTTGGTTAAAAAAAATTGCAATGTTTTTTAGGCCTTAATTGGTTTATGGATCACACATACAGAGGTGTGAACAGTTGACATATAAAGCAATGTTGAGGCCTCCAAAATGTTAATTAATTTTGAGGTTTGACAAATAAAATGTTTTAATTTATTTGTAGATCTTATTACAATCAACTGTAACTTGTATGCATGTGTATTAATTATTGTAACTAAATAATAATCATTTCAATAAAGTACAAGTGCACCTACTTCTAAACCTTTATGTAAGTATATGTAGTTGTAAACGTTGCCAAACAAGGCCCCATGAGCTATCATTCCATATGTTTCTCTCATTTGTAGTTTGTTTTAAAAGCAGTCTCCTTAATATCTAGTCCAGTCATGGAAAACATGATGCATGCTTAATATGTGACAGTATCTACACTTGATTTCTGACAGGCAATATCATTGGTGTCTGTGTGTCAGTTATACCTACTTATCTATCCACATCTTCATTGTTTTATCTTATGTTATTGGAGCTTCAATAATGTTTGTGTCCGTATATTATTGAAGGCACATAATTAATTATAGATAGATACAGATTAAATATATATAGTATATATATATATATATATATATATATATATATGCTGCTTTAGGTAGACGATTGATTTGTCAGCACTTGTATTTACATGTGGGTATTTTATGGTGGTCAGATTATCCATTATGAGCTTCCAAACTCTTCAGAGATATTTGTCCATCGATCTGGACGAACAGGGCGTGCTGGGAAGAAAGGTAGTGCAATTCTGATATACTCAACCCACCAATATAGGGAAGTTAAGTCTATTGAGCGTGAAGTAGGATGCCGATTCACAGAGGTAAGTTATCATCAACTTTATATCCATTATGCATATTTCTTTCTGAATTATTGAATCCTTTAACCTCATTATAATTGCAATTGGACTAAATTGTTTGTAATTTGGGTGGTTTTATTTAGCTCCCTAAGATAGCTGTTGATGCCGCGACCATGGAAATGTACGGTAGAATGGACCAAGGTGGTCGTGGAAATTCGGGAGGTGGTCGATTCGGTGATTCTGGATTTGGAGGACGATCTGGTGGTTATGGTAATTCCAGGGGTAGTGGATATTCCGGTGGTGGTGTTGGTGGTCGCTTTGGTGGACCTGGATTTGGTGGTCAGGGTTCTGGCGGTGGCCGCTCGAGTTTTGGATCTGGCGGCCGGTCAGGTAGTGGTTTTGGGGACTTGGGTGGTCCGGTTAGGAAAAGTGGGTTTGGAGAAAGTGGTCCCAATCGCTCGAGTGGTTTTGGGGACTTTGGTTCAGATCGTTCCAGTAGGTTTGGTCGTGATGACAGCGACGGTGACAGAAATAAAGGGAGAAGATTTTTCTGAACCTAGCTACTATTCAAGGTGATTCCTTTTTCTCTTTCACGAATTATTAATTTGTATTCGGCATTTATTAATTTGCATTCAACCTGTGTCTTGATCTGAAAATCTACCACTTACGAACTTATTTTAATTGGGATAGTGGTTCTTATTTGAAATTATGATACTCATAAAACCACAAAAGAAGAAAAGAAAAGGAAAGAGATAATATGCCACAAAATGTGCACCAGATAGAAGTGCTTTCATTGAGTTTTATGGTAAGATAATCAAACACGCATTGTGATGCACTGTAATTCATGTTTATAAGTGATGATCATAAACCTGAGGTCCCCTTTGGTTTTTTTTTTTCCATTGCTTAAGAGTTTCTGTTTTACGAGGTATAATTTATTTAGTAGTGCTTATATTTTCTTGTCTTCTTGCCTTGTGTTTTTTTTTTCTTTTTCTTTTTCTTATGAATATTGTGTGTGTAACTTTGTATTGTTTCAGTATGAGATGGCATTAAAGGTGTTAAGGACAGAAGTTTACGAGGCAATCTAGAAGATGATGTCACTTTGAAAGTCTCTTCCTTCCGTGACCAAATAATCGAAGACTTGGATGATATATATATAATCATTTATCTCTTTGCTTGAAAAAAAAATTAGAGATTAAGCACAATGCTACGAGTGTTGCTTAGGATTATAATATATGTAATTTATTATCTTGTTCTTAACATGATTTTCTTCTAGTGTTCATAGTTTTTGCCGATTTAAAACTTGGAATGATATCTAGAACGTGCAATGATATGATGTGGTGGTTCTTTGCTATAAAATATTTTAAATTCAGTTTTGCATTGTATTCTATATCAGAATGTATACAAAATTGGTTATTTTGATCTCAGTTCTAAAACATGATATGTATAATGTATGTATCTAGTCCAATCTGTTGGCCTTTGAGATTTGTCTTAGGATACGAGCTTTCGATAATTGTGTTGAATTTCCCCTGCATCTCCAACTCTCAGGCCTCAAATCAGGAGTTATTGCACGAACACGAAAGCCGAGACCGGTCAAAGGTTCTAGAAGCTCCGGGCCCTTTTCAGAATCCATAGTTTTTGACAAGATGATCAAACAACTTTGTGGGGTTTGTCTGACATAAGCTCTCCAATCCGTAAAAATCCCTTTCGGTGACTATTCGACAGGTAAAATGCATGTCATGAAGATAGCTTCCCGAAAAACTCAACTCTTGAATCGAAAAAAATGGTCATAAGGTGATAATCGATGGAGACAAATCCATTACGTTACATGTAAATCGACGGAGACAAAGTCAAGAAAATAACTCGATAGTATTAATTTGAAATCATAAATAAAAAAAAAACAGATAATTGAATACTGGAATACATCCTATGGTTTTAAGTTATAGAACAACCAATTCAATATGTCGAGGTACTTGTGGTGCAAGCTTCTGCTTTACGTTCAACCTTGCAGTTTCTTCCACCTCTAATTTGTCACGGAACCATACAAAATCGGGATCAATTATTATTTTCTCAAGAACGATGCAATTCTCCAAAATGTAGCTGAGTAATTCAACATCATTCGCGCTGCCATAATAGCTACAAAACTTGAAGATTTTAAGGTGATGGTGGGGAGAATTTGCTACGGCACCCTCGATTTGTCTATCTTCCCTCGGTAGTGTAGACCAATTAAACTGTAAAACAAATTCCTCCAAGTACGGAGATGCCCTTATCAAAGCAGCCAACCTAATAAGACTTTCATGACCTCTTCCACAATATTCGATGACCAACTTCTTCAGATTGGGCATTTTAGGAAGGTCGCAAATCTCGTCCATTTCTCCTCGTAAAAAACCACAGCTGTATTGCCCCAAGTAAAGAGTGTGCATATGAGAAATGCAGCGAGACAGTACAACATCGAATAAACGTTTTATTGAAATACTGTCAGGGTCACACCTGACAGATACGTTAACTAGCATCGGAACATTCTCAAGCAAAAGTCCCGTTACAGTCGTAACAATAAGTGTAGTAAGCTTTGGCGCAGAAACTTTAAGTGATTCCAAACCCGGGCAACAATGGACTATCTCCAAGTGTTTTAACTTGAGGGATGAACCACAGACTTGAAGCTTTGATAATTTGTTTGATTCATGGACAATCAATTGTTCGAGTAACGGGCAGTTATGTAACAAGAACTCGATAGCTCCACCACTCACACGAACAAATTTGAAAACTAATGCTTTGAGGGACTTAAAGCCGGCAGCTACAAGCATACTGTGTGAAGCGGGTTGGAAATTAGGTGGTGGTCTGAAATTGGTTAGGGTAAGAAACTCGTCGGGGAAACAATAATATTTAGACGAACCGTGACGAGTTTTAATGTCCAACTCCAACCTCTCAACTTTTCTGGAGAATGCAAATTCAAGCCACTGAGTGATTGCTTTTGATGATGATTTGTTTAGATTAAAACGGATTTTGAACTCTTTTAAGGCGGGTGATATGTGTGATTGAATAACGGAGTTCACCCATTTCACGTACTTGAGTCTCTCACTCTCGAGTAACTCGACGTCAAGATAAAGCTTGTCTATTAAACTTTGTTGAGCATCAAAGCAGAGAGAGGGGGTGTGTTTCCACAAGTTGATCCAACGAGACGAAAGAACACTAGTGCGTGCTGCTTCCTTGAGCGATAGCAAAGACAATATATGAACCAGAATCTCATCAGGCAACTCACTTATCCAATCATCAGCTTCCCCCACAAAACTCATCTTACCACACTGTCAGTTAAAAAAAAAAGGATAATAGTATGTTAGAATAAGAAAAAAACCTTATTGAGTTGAAAATTGCTATGAATTAGCGGAGTCAGGATTTCAAGCACGAGGAACGAATGCATTAAAGAAATTATGAAGGGGGTTGTTAATACTATTGTATACAATTCTTTTATGTTTTTATATAAATTAATAGTGATTTGAAAAATATTCGGGGTCATAACGCCTCTGGCTCTATGCTGCTCCGCCACTGCTACTCATAAAGCTTGAATCTTTGGACAAAAAGCTTTGAATACCTTACACCAGAGCAATTCCTAGAAAAGCTTATTTAAACTATAAATTAATTATTAAAAAAAGAAAAGCCTTAATCTTTAGTGTTTCACATATTTAAATATCAACTTCTTTGGTTGAAATTAGGGGCTTCCAGTGGCAGAACTTAATAGTGGCTGGGCTGTTGACCCCCCAAAATTTAAAAAAAAAAAAAATAGTTTAGGTATTTTGGCACTGTATTTTTTGAATATTACTTTTGGCTCCCCTAAAATTTTTGCAAATATGTAACTTAATCCTTATTTTTCTATTTATTCTCCATATATATATATATATATATATATATATATATATATATATATTAAGTACGATACATTATTAGAATATTTTGAATTAATTTAGATTTTTTTGTCATACTTAAAATACGATAAAATTATAATATATATAACATTTTAATTAAAACATATCAATATAAACTTATTTTTGCAATGTATTGAGAACCTAAATTTTTTTTCGGGGCGCTGCCCCATATCCAAAATTTTAGTTAGCCCCCCTACATTTTCATCCTAGTTGCGCCCTTGGGGACTTCGATTCTAGTTTTAGAAACTAAGATAGAGATTGTATTGTATGTAGCAGCCAAACAACAGATAGGCATCATCATATAAGAAAAAAAAAAAAAAAAAAAACAGAAATCAAAGAGGCAAAAGGTTTTTGTGGAAATGAAAGCTGACCTTGTTGGGTTGAAAATTGTTATGAATTTTGAGTCGCTTACTATCCATAAAGCTTAAATCTTTGGACAAAAAACGGAGAAGATAAAACAGACAGAATGATTATCTGATCTTTCGACCAAAGGAGTTTTCTCCAGATCCTATGATGTAACTTGTAATACTAATCAGCTACCAAATATAGCAGACGTAGAAGCAGATTGTTTATTTTCTCTCTCTCTCTATATATATATATATATTTTTTTTTTCTTTTTGAAAAATCCAAATCCTGTTATAAATTGGTGATCTAGGTGAGGGGCAGGATCCGAATGCCACACCACCTCTAGATTAATAGTAGAGGTTAGGTACACCTCTCCTATGAAGGTTTTCTACTCTAAAAAAAAAAAGGGTCGGGATTTTTTTATTTTTATATATATATATATATATATATATATATATATGAGACCCCCCCAAAATTAACACCCGAAAAATAAAAACCCC